TTTTGATAATGACCTAATTTTCCGCCTAAATTATTAAACAACTTCCAAGCAAACTCCAAAATACTCTAATGAGTGGTTTTTCACTTTGAAGCCTTCAGAGAATACTTCATACAGACATTTTGGTACTCACTGGTAATTTGAATATACTTAAGATCAGCGAGTTGTTAATTTCTGTAGGGGTTTCTCATCACACTTCAGAAATCAAGAAAGAAGTTGGGACGTGGATATTTCTAGCTTTAGGGTTATCGAGAAATCCTGCGCGCATCCTTCAGTGGAATAAAATCTCCCATCCAATCGATACATCGGTCTAATCCATCAACCTGGGGTTTTTATCACTATTTGCTAAACCTAAAAACATTTATTGTAGATTCTACTATATTTGGTGATGTTGCCCTCAAATTATACTTTGGTATACAATATTTATTTTTATTTGGCGAAAAATTTATCGAGAAATTCGATGTTGATTGGAAAAGCTGTGTACTGTAAAGAATAGACATTCGAAAAAAATTCGTCAAGACTGGAAGAATTATAACTTACTGAGTTGAATGATGTGGTCTTTTCGAAGGAATAATATGCATTTTAAAAAGGGGAATCAAAATTGTAAGGTCGGAGGGAATCGACTTATAAAACAGGTGTAACAATTTTGAAGTATTTCTACAGAAACAAATTTCTAATGGTCGCCGACTCATATAGTTCATATCCATTCCCAGTATAATGAAAATATTCTTTTGATCACAGAGTTCAAAATCTATTAATATGAATTACCACTGCTCCAGCAATTTAAGTCAAGTTTAGTTTTACTCCTTTTAACAAGTTAGTATAAACTTTTGCGGATGACACTATAGTTAGTTTTCGGTTTCATTTAGTGATCAGAAATAATCAGATGTCTTGAAATCAAGCTAGAAATTCTGTTTTCTCCCTAAAGAAATACTATAAAGATATGCCGGTGGTAGCATTTTAAAAGGAAGTGCAGAGCACAGCCATTGTAATTTTCTCCAGAATAACATGTTCAGTGATAGACACACGTCATGATCCCTAACCAAGACGGTTTATTTTTTGCTTATCATAGTAGCTTTAGACTTCTGGATAAAGTTATTCTGAATTTGGTTCAACAAAACATCTTTCTCAACTGGCTTGATGTTTTTGATAAAAAATGTCCACTACACTTTGAATTCTGAAGAGTAGCTTTCTAGGAACCAAAGTAGCAGAATCAGTGGCTAGTTTCAGTTTCATAATTTTTTATAACGAAATAACCAGAACACCTTTTTAAGCTTTATCTTCAAAAGCCTTAGGAATACAGATGCTACTGGTTCTTCGACACAAAGAACTTATCATACTTCATTTCGTGTCTAAAGGCGTTTAGGTGCTAAGTTTTGTAAGCTAATCAGTGACTAGCATATAGGCAGCTTTTGTTAACTAGAGTTGGCAGCTGTAGCCTCCGGATTCAATTAAGAACTACAACAGGTGAATGATACATATATCGACGAGCAATAAGTCGTATTGTGTTAAAAAATAACTATGTTCTAAACTAATCATTTCTTGATACTAAAACCGCTGAGTACTCCTTGGTTCTCAATACACAGAAAGAATATTTCTGGTAGACGACAGATTATGCAACATATTTTTATAGAACAAATTTATTTGTCACCTGACCTTATTTGGTTTCACTGAAATGAGTGAATGAGATTTCAGAATGATAATAATTAATGCACTCACTTATTTCGTCAGTTTAAAAAGTAACAAGAACCTAGTGAACATTTGTTTCATGTGATTATGTAACTAGTTGTTTAATGTAACAAAACAAATCCACCATGTGACAGACAAGCTGTTTTACATCCGTTTAGAGGTCATAGTGCTGTTTACAGTCCCAAGAGAATATTCGTTTTTATTTGCACATGGATTGTTGTAAATATGTACCGGATAATGATAACAGTCAAATGATACGATTTTGTAGCATACACTGAAAAAATACTTCTGTTGACTACAGTCAACTTTCTTTTAAATATACACGTGTATATCCATAATCAATTCATGTGTTCATTGTTGCCTGGTTATTTAATACCTTTGTTTGAATATGATATTACTTTTGACATCTTGATGATTGTGGTTTAAGTGATAGGGTTATAATTAAAAGATTTTACCCTTTACACGATTTTGCATTAAAATTAAAATAATAGGTTGAATTTTATAAATTGGAAATCTGTAAGTAGTTAGTGATGACGATAAAACGTACAGTTTTATACTTCATTCAAAATGGAATATTACCTCTAAATAAAAAGTATATACTTTTGTAATAAATAAATACCGAAAGTGTATGTTTTTTCGTCAAAATAGTTGACGAAAGAGAAAACGTTGATGATAATCCTATTCATGAGTAATGTTCGATATAAACAAATGCAACTGAGTCGAATTAAAGACAGCCTGATTAAAGAGGTAATGCCTACACTTAGATGAGTAATCAACGTAAGGTATTTATTCTGTTAGTAATGAGACATAGTGGTGTGACAGTAACTTTGAAACCAGAATAAGGTTAATTATGGAATGAATTTCACTTATTTAACATAAGTGAAAATCTAAAATCAAGAAATGAGTTAATTTTAGACAAGCACTATTTCGTGAAATAATATCTCTGATGATTTCCCTGTACCGAAGACTAAGAACCATAGGTACTGTGAACGGTTATGCTTTAAAAAAGAAAGGATTATTACAGCATATAGAGAAAATTTACGAGACATGTACTTGGAAGAGTAACTGAAATTACAGACACATGTTTTATCTCATTTTGAACTTGTTGGCAAAATGCATTGACTTTCTACCGCTTCTATATACACTGAAACTTGAAGTCACAAAATGGTCGCTTCAAATGTCAAAAGTTCATCCACTAAGCTACAAAATATACTCATTATGCAACGAGTGTACTTTGATATTTTATCTTATTGTCTGTAAAAGTTACAAGGTATGCTTATTGAATAACATTTGGTTGAAAAAGACAATTCAAAACTTGACCAACAAATGTTTGTTTACTTATGCCTAGATTTACCTATGTTATCCATCAGTTTTCCAAAACAAAAACTGAAACTATATTTTGAGGTTGATCTGATGAAAATCGACCATTTTTTGTTAACTAAAGCTTGACAACTTTATCATGAAACTGAGAAAGGCTAACATGCAGATCTCTTACACTATTATTTAGTCTTATGTGCTACTAGTGTAAACTGTAAAGCAGAGCTAGAATTGAAGCATGTCTTCAAAGGAATTAACCTGAAGTATCTCGATTTAGAAAAATGTGATGAAATGTAACCTCAACACTTTGGACAGCAATATCACAGACTAACATATCTTATTCCATATAGTTGCAATCAACCGCTATTAAGTTAATATATTGCATATAATGAACTTCCGTGAATTAAAGCTTAGTTTCGGAAAATGAATGACTTCTCTCTGAAATGAATGACTTCTTAATTTCAAGTTAGTTAAAATTTAACTTTTTTGTTTGTTGGTTGCCTAAAGTACATAAAGTGGAATAGTACATTTCTAAATTAGTATTTTAATTTCGTCGGCGATTTCTGAAAGTTGACTTTTAGTTGTTGTCTCGTTAGTATTCCCATTGGAAACTGTTATTTTATAGATCTTAACAGATTTGCTGTTGGTCATTAGTTAGTTAGAAAGTGTATTACTTTTAAAAGTAATTGTTTTTAAAAAGGTATTTTATGTACTAGAGTCTTTTCAAATAATTTTATAACTTACTTAGTATAGGCGGGGTAATTGTATTGAATCAAAAACGGCCTATATTCCTATTAACTAACCATCAATTATCTCAGTTCTTCTTCTATGAGGACAGCATATTTCTACCATCAACAATTAAATCCTAACAAAGATGAATTAAGGTGTCATAACTGCCAGTCAAAGTTCTACTCAATCTTCAACATTACTGCCTACCATAAAAGATAACTTTTATGCGATTTTCATTCATTTACGCAAGCGACTGATGAATGCGTTGAAAATAAGAAAGATCACTCTAGGTGGTTAAATCAAGGCCTAATCGATTTCTATCGCTAAAAGTATGCTTATACATCCACTCGTCTAATGCTTACCATGCATGTTTCTTTCGAATCCACGGGTTTTAACCAGTGATGAGCACATATAATATAACACTTAAGTATTAGATGTTATATAAAGGCTCCTAGTATCGGCTGATTAACCAGAGCGCAAAACTACAGTCATGATCCACAGTGAAAAAATGAACTACTTACTATATACGTTTTTATCTTTTACTTTACTAACTGTTAACATTACAAATGAGTTATGTAAGATAGGCTCAAATTCTGAGATACAATTCATGCTTTCTTTCGAATTAATTTGCTACATACAGCCTATAGTTCATGAGTTAGTGAAAGCCTTGTAAGCAGTCAATTCCTTTTATGTGGAGGGTGGACCGATAAAACGTTCTTGTGAATAACTCGGTTTAAAAAAGCCTCAAATGTTCGACAAGTTACGATCTCACTCTCGGTTTAGAGAGTGGAGTTGATGACCATATTTTGCATACTGACTTATATAGAAATCATGATGTAGTCTTTTAAACTAATTTGACATTACTTCTAAGTAACCAGAAGAAAAATCGTGAATGCGCTTTCTAAATTATTTCGACTGATTAATTATGAAGAATCTGCAAACCAATGGATGTTAGTACTTCATCTTATAACTAACAACAAACCCTGTCTTCAAAACATTCATGTGGTTATTATACTCTAGATATGCCAAGAGATAATGTGTAAAACCTAAAACACTAGATGGATTTCAAGTCCACTCGAAGAGTAAAAATTTCTGTTCGTGTTCTCAAAATTTTCCCGGTTGCTTTTGTCAACAATTGCTTTTCATTAGAAAACCACCTGAACCTCAGAAGATGGCTGTAACTTATTTATGTGTTAATCAAGTAGATCAGATGAAAAAAATTTACTTAAAAGAAACAGTTAGGTTAAACTACAAGAATCATAACTCACGGTTTAATCATTATTGCACACCGTGTATTAACTTAATGCAGAATAAATAATGTGTATGCCGCCTGTAAATATTCACATAATAGCCAGTTAAAAACATCTGCTGAGACAATATTTATTTAAAAATGGCAGGTAATATTCTACAAACTAACTGACCAATTACTGCATTATAGTCATAATATTATATGCACCAATGTTTGTCTATAAGAGAAGTTCAAAGGTTGTCTTATTATCTCATATTATGTGAACAAATTATTCATCACCTTATGACTAATTAAAATAGCTGCATTTATTAATTAAAAATAAAAGCAATCAGTATCTAATTACTTCTTTCTCTCTCTTTCTATTTGTGTTTCAGTTAACAAGTATAATGTTCCAAACCAAAAAGTAAAAACTTTTAGCTCAAGTAGCTGATAGAATGTAATAATTCACTTTTATCAAGAGAATCAACGAACTATCGGAGGACTTACATCACCAAGTGAAATAATCCGGCAGTTATGAAATTCAAAAAGCTACCGTATTTCTCAGGCAACTTCAAAGTTATTGGTTACATTTCAAGCATAAATTTGTATTTAACATTGAGAAGAGGAATTAACTTCACATTAAGACTGCTATAACAATTAGGTTAAAATTGATTTATTGTTTGCTCTACATGAACGTATATCGCTTGCACACTGATACACTGTATCACAATTTCAGATGAAATGTTCTTTGTTCGATACTAAAAAACTTCACCGATTCACCTAAACCCAGAAGCAAACAGAGCTATTTTGGGAAACCCAGTCATAATCCCTAAATCAAAAAAAAAGGTTGAAGTTCGATCGTTGACAAAATGGTTTCTTACTGTTACTAATGGTATGAAATTAACAACCATGTACAACCTGACTTACATACTGATCTCTCAAACCCTTTCATTACATTATTTCTTACACACCTTCAATGCAAGTGAAATATTGTATACTCTTATGAAATAAAAAAAGGTGGCTAATGCGCACCCATGTACTTTATCATCAGTCTAATAGATAATAAGCCAGTTATACATTAGTGTTCAACAAGAGTTAGCGGCAAACCGTGAAGAGCGAGAAGAAGGGCATACGCTGGCTGGACTGATCAAAACACCCTAGAAGAAGATTTGGATTTCGCAAACGATGATGACTTATATCTAATGTCTCGTCTCACAAACTCGAAGACCTACAGGCAAAAACTAACAAGTTGACAGAAGAGGCGAGGCAGTGAAGGAAGACGAGACTTCCTTCAGGCGAACGTAGAGAATACAGAGGTGATGAAGACACCCAACCACCGCCGCCACCAATAACAACACCAACAAGCACCAATCACCATCGAGGGGGGAAATCCAAAGGAAGTAGTCTCTTTCACCTACCTTCCTATGCAGCATGGCATCGTTTCAACTACAGGTGGCACAGGCACAGGCACAGATGAGGATGTCAAAGACAGCCAGGATCGGAAAGACAATAAGACAGGCCTTCCATTAATCTGAAATCAGTGTGGAGATCTACTACACTGCACTGTACTCAGCATAAAGCGTGAACAACATCCGGATTTTCAACACTAAGTCAGTCAAGTCAGTGCTTCTATGTGGTGGCTGGGAGACTTAGTGCGTTACGGAAAGCATTTCCAACAAACTACAGACATTCATCAACAGCCCCCACCTACACTCACTCGATACTGAAGATCACGTAACCAGGAGGAATGAGCAACAGGGAAATCTGGCTAGCTGACAACGAACCAACCAAGAACCCATCGGCCAACAAATATGCAGAAGAAAGTGGGTATGGATAGGCAATACACTGGGAAGACCGATTAGAGACATCACTTGCCAGTCTCCGAGTGGGACTCACATCGGGAACGACGAGTTTGGCGTCTGAGGGTGACATGGAGGAGATCATGTGGGGAAGAAATGAAAGCTTGTGGGGGATTCGTGGGGCCAGGTTCAAAAGGCTGCAGAGAACAGAGTGCAATGGAGACGCGCTACTGAATCCCTATGTTCCATGAGTAACTCAAGGGACAAATGATATTAATGATCAAAGTATTACCGAAGTATGATCCAATTCAGAATACGCAAGTTCGATTCTAAGGAGATTATGTTTTGTTGATTGTTGTTTGTTTCTACAAACGATATGATGAAGCGGCCACAATGAGAATATAGTCATTATTTAAAATTACTTCGCAATAAGTGATCCTTTTCTTGTTATTGACTAAGAAAATTAACATTCTGTGTAACTGTATAAGTGCGTCCATTTCTGTGTTCATCTGACAGTAAATTAAAATTCAATGACATTTAAAGGAATAGGTTGTATGGATCAGTGGAGAGACGACGTACTTACGAAAAGAGATACAACTGGTGTATCTTTATACAGTCTATCCACTTTGGTTCTATTGTGAAAATTCAAATATTACAGATAAAAGTTGAGAAATCGGTTGCTACCATTACTTTGCACTAGGTATTTAAATGTTAGTTATAATGTATATCAAAGAAAGAACTTGTGGGCCCATGTGCTGAGATTTTGCTAACGGTAGTTGGCCTAGGCTTTCAGCTTTACACTGACGTAGTAAATATTGAGACAAGCAGAAAAATATTCAGTGTTTAATATGATGCTTTGAAGTTTCTTCAGCGGTTAGATTTGTTTTACGGGGTAGGGTTGCTAGCCACATGCCCAACCTTCCCTCTTTACCCGGGCTTAGGACCGGCTAGTAACTAGTGAACTAGCTAACCAGGCGACGGGACTTCAGGTGAATATTGGGAAGACAGAAGTGATGAAGATACCGCACCACCACCAACAACAACAACAATAAACTCCAGTCACCATCAACGGGAGAAACTTAAAGGAAGTAGTCTCTTTCACCTATCTAGGAAGCAATGTTTCAACTACAGGCGGCAGTGGCACAGACGAGGATGTCAAAGTCAGAATCGGTAAAGCAAGACAGGCGTTCATTAACCTGAAACCAGTGTGGAGATCTTCTGCACTCCACTCATCACAAAGAACAAGATCCCGATTTTCAACACCAATTCAGTCAAGTCAGTGCTTCTGTATGGTTCAGAGACTTGGAGCGTTACGAAAGGCATTTCCAACAAACTACACACATTCATCAACAACTGCCTACGCTGGCTCGTTACTGAAGATCAGATGACCAGAAATAATAAGCAACAAGGAGCTCTGGGAACGAACCAACCAAGAACCTATCACCCAACAAATATGCAGGAGGAAGTGGAGATGGATTGGGCATACACTGAGAACGTCGACTGGCAACATCACGCGTCAGTCCCTCGAGTGGAATCCCCATGAGGAGTGACGAGTTGGGCGTCGCAGTTGAGGATAACATGGAGGAGATCGTGTGAGGAGGAAATGAGAGCTTGTGGGCAGTCGTGGGGCCAGGTTCAAAAGATTGCAGAGGAGAGAGTGCACTGGAGACGTGCTACTGAAGCCCTATGTTCCATTAGGAACCCAAGGGACTAATAATAATAATAATAATAATAATAATAATAATAATAATAATAATATGGTGCAGTCGGGATATGAGATATGCTTGAAAACAATGATGGACCTCTTCTCCAGAAACATATCAACGACAAGACATTATAAGCCGTAAGATTTCTAGAACGAGGACTAAAATTAGCCAACTAACAAATTGTAACATTCAGTCTTAATTTTGGATCGCGCTGAGATTACAGGTTTTTGGAGTTAGTTGTTTTCCAAGTCTGCAATGCAGTTGAAAATTGCGAGATAGTAAACAGTAGTCGCTATAATTCGAATCATTATTTCAAACTTAGATAGACGATTTAACCCTGCTATACGTACTCATTGGTGGACAGTTTGGGAAATTTATTGAATTACGCCTATTTTCTATGTAAGAATGTGCCTGCTCTCTGTGCTTTATATATACAAGGTTTGATATTTGTAATTTAACAGTTATACTAGGTAGAATCGCTCAACGTCTGTTGGCATATGGGCTAGTATGTGGATGCATTGATGCCTGATTACTGATCATGGTGATGCGGCTTGGTGGCTAACAGTGGAGTTCAGGAGGTATGCCTCGTCCCACTTGGGACTCAAAACTGCGAGCAGACATCGTGGGAAGAGAACTCATCCATCATGGGTTGAGATGCACTCGGTGAAGTGAATGAGAATGGAGAACTGTTTGCAGACTTCTGCGCATTTAACGATTCCATGATTGGGGGCAGCGTCTACAAACACAAGGATATTCACAAGGCAGCGAGAGATATGGATTTCACCAGACACCAGGACACACTACACTGAAAATCACATCCGCTTCATCTCAATGTGAAGAAAGTGGAGACACAGCCAGCCTACTGGACACAAAATCAGATCAAGAAGAGGACCAGATGTAGGTGGTTCACACCACTCACACCACTATCCAGTGCAAGGAACCTACCTACCTTCAAAATCAAGTTGAAATCCTCCAATAAAGCTGGTCATAGACCACACTTCAAGTTCAACACCCAGAAAAGAAACTGAACTGAAGGATAAAACTTCAAAAACCATCTTCACGTCAGCTATCGGCAAAAAAGGGGAGACATTAGGCGACATATCAGAGGAAACCTGCATGGAACAACACTGGAACTCTGTAAAAGAGACATGGAAGGAAACCTTCATGACCGTGTTAGGAAGGAAGAAGAAGCAAGACGAGACAAGAAATCGATCTCCACTGACACACATGAGCTGATAGAGGAGGGAGAGGAAGATGGTCAAGCGGAAGATGAACAAGTGCAATTCAGTGCAGTGCAAGGATGAACAACGAAAATAGGAACCGAACACAACCAATAAACACTATACTAGACAAAGAAGTGAACAAGGGTGCCCAAAAAGACAAAACACACTTCTACGACACATTGCCAAGTGAAGCAGAACTGGCCGCAGGTAGGAGAGACTCGACAACATCATGTCAAATAACCAGGTTACTTACTATCAGGGAGGGGAGAGATCAACACCAATGAAAGATGGTGAAGGGAACCTAGTTACCAAGAAAGAGGAGAAACAAAGGAAACGTGGGTTGATCACTTCAGTAAACTCTCAAATCGACCACCACCAACACCACCCGCAACTTATCCATAAGTACCACCAACAGCCCAACCACAACACTACCAGTGAACACAAGCCATCCGACAGAAGCCGAAGTGAAGTCCTCAACGTCATAAAGTTGCTGAAATACGGGAAAGCACCAGGAACAGACGGAATTCCGTCAGAAGCACTGGAAACAGATGAGGACACATCAGCAGCCGACATGATCACACCACTACTTCAGAAGGTTTGCAAGGAAGGAAGTAAGGAAAGATACCTGCCAAGTGGAAGATGACCTACCTTGTTAAACTCCCAAACAAGGGAGACCTAAGTCTTTGCAAGAACCGACGAGGAATCATGCTCCTGTCCACATCAAGCGAAATATTAGGCCGCACCATCCTGCAAAGACAAAACGATGAGCTACATTCAAAATAACGACGGGAACTAGCTAGCTGGTTGGCTGCCTTTAGGATCAAAAAATCATGTGTGGATCAAATTGCAACGCCACGCTACGCATCATCATAGAACAGAGTATGGAATGGCTGTCAACTCAACTCTACAACAACTTTATCGACTTTCAAGAGGTGTTCGACAGCGTCAACCGAGAAGCAGTTTGTCAGCTGCTTCAACACTACGGTTCCAGTGCCACAAACCTTTATCAACCTCATTCAACAACTATATGGTATATGATGCTACATGCCAAGTGATTCACAATGGAAAACTCAGTGATGCTTTTGAAGTGAAGACAGGAGTAAGACAAGGCTGCGGCCTACTATCACAGATGATCTTCCTGATGGTGGTCGACTGGATGATGCAATAGACCGTGAGGAGCGAGAAGAAGGGCATACGCTGGCTGGACCGATCAAAACACCCTAGAAGAAGATTTGGATTTCGCAAACGATGATGACTTATATCTAATGTCTCGTCTCACAAACTCGAAGACCTACAGGCAAAAACTAACAAGTTGACAGAAGAGGCGAGGCAGTGAAGGAAGACGAGACTTCCTTCAGGCGAACGTAGAGAATACAGAGGTGATGAAGATACCCAACCACCACCACCACCACCACCACCAATAACAACACCAACAAGCACCAATCACCATCAGGGGGGAAATCCAAAGGAAGTAGTCTCTTTCACCTACCTTCCTATGCAGCATGGCATCGTTTCAACTACAGGTGGCACAGGCACAGATGAGGATGTCAAAGACAGCCAGGATCGGAAAGACAATAAGACAGGCCTTCCATTAATCTGAAATCAGTGTGGAGATCTACTACACTGCACTGTACTCAGCATAAAGCGTGAACAACATCCGGATTCTCAACACTAAGTCAGTCAAGTCAGTGCTTATATGTGGTGGCTGGGAGACTTAGTGCGTTACGGAAAGCATTTCCAACAAACTACAGACATTCATCAACAGCTCCCACCTACGCTCACTCAATACTCAAGATCACGTGACCAGAGAGAATAAGCAACAAGGAACTCTGGCTAGCTGGCAACAAACCAACCAAGAACCTATCGCTCAACAAATATGCAGAAGGAAGTGGAGATGGATTGGATTGGGCAAACACTAAGAAGGCTGACTGGGGACATCACGCACCAAGCCGAGTCCTAGAGTCAAATCCAAATGGGAAACGACGAGTTGGGCGTCCGAGGTGAGGGTGACATGAAGGAGGTCATATGAGAAAGAAATGAAAGCTTGTGGGAAGTCGTTGAGTCAGATTCAAAAGGCTGCAGAGAACGGAGTGCATTGGAGACGTGCTACTGAATCCCTGTGTTCCACTAGGAACCCTAGGGACAAATAATAATAGTAATAATAAAGATAGTTAGAGTTCTTGGCGCTCAAGAGTTTTGAATTCGGTGTACTTAATTTTTGGCGCAATGAAACCAGGTATTATCTATCGTAAGCCCACATATGATATGCTTAACTTATAGTCTAATGGCTAAAACTACTGAGATATTAAAAAACATGCAAATACGATTAAATGCTACGCAAAATTCTATGAAATTCGTATGAAAAATGTCTTCTCAAAATTACTTCCAGTTTAATCATAACATGAATTTCTAACCGCAAAAGAATTTCAAAAACGGATGTCATGCCATAAAATTTAATTGAATTTACAAAGGTTTTACTTAGTTGTATTTCATAAATGATATCTGAAATTCAGTCATAAATATACTGAGATAGTTTGAGTCATTACTTCAAAACAACCTGCTTAAATCGGGATTTGAAGAGCCGTACTTAATTTCAAAATGCTTTTTGTTGCCATATATGGATACTTGTTGACGATTTTGTTCGGTTTCGAATTTACTGGTAAGGCTGTTACAGCAAGTGTAATGTAACCATCAAATAGTTTAGGAAATGTTTTAATTTTAATTGACTATATATCTGAGGAAATATAAAAGCGGTGGATTATTTTATTCTAATAACACATTATGACTAACATCAACTTTTGACATGCAATCATAAAATCATATAAGTGTAAAACTTAGGAACTGTGGTAGGATTTAATTGCATATTAGATTTGTTTATTTGATTTATAACACACAGTGATCTAGTATTATTTACTTGATGACGTTTCGCGCATAAATTATTGCTCATAATCATATCATGTAATCACACTCCTTACATTAATATGATTGATTATGAGCAATAATTTATGCTCGAAACATCATCAAGTATATAATACTTTAATCACTGTGCACTATATATCGAATAAACAAATCTAACATACAATCATATCACATCTACTTCTATTTCATAAAACTGAATGGAAATAGCAAGGGTACAGACATAATTATTCCGTATTTAATGCCAATAAATTTTTAAAATGAAACAAACAGTATGAAATAAACTCGAATAAGATTTCTTTTCTGAGCGTACTTTTCGATTGTTGCACAATTTATTTTTTAGGTCAACATGAATAAAATTATTGGAAGCAACTATGAGTGTTCACTATTAAAAACTTAGTAGTATTTAAACAGTAGTATCAAAAAGGAAGACTTACAGATCTCTCTTCCGGAGTACTTCCGACAGGCTCCATGGCAAGAACTTTCTCATAATAATGCATGGCAATATGAGTAATGACTGTAAGAAGAACAATGTATACATTGATAAGAACTATAGTAGATTTCAATAATGAAGTTTTACAGTGTAGGATGTATCAGAAAAGGGTTAGGGGAAAAAATTAGTTTTTTTCTTAACCAAACAGCTTTACAATGTACACCTTAGTGTTGAGATCCCCTCTCCTCTCAGTTTTTTCGTATAATTATCTCAGTAAGTGATAAGTTTGATTAATCCAGAATAGTGATAATAATAAGCTGTAAAAACTACCACGAAAATTAACTTCACAAGAAGAAAAACAATAAAATTAAATGGTAATTAGGCTAAAGTGGTAGACGGACAAAATAAACGTTGAACCTCCACACAGAAGTGCATCGGTTCAAGTTGTCACACTTCACAACAAAATGCAAAGAACAAGTGGGTAGGAAAAGTGACATAGAACTAGACAAAAGTGTAAGCAGGGCAGGAAAAATCTTAAGAAATGAAAGTTGGTGAAAATCCTCAAGCTTTGGATGTCAAAGAGTAAATATATGCGCGCCATCAAACTGTTCTTCAGTCATGTCACCAAAGCTCTTCAATCACTGATTCTTATTATTTCAAGGACCCCAACCAGGCAGTCTATACCTCTCCAAAGAGCTCAGACTAACAGTCAAATACTTCAAGCAGTGCTGTCCCATTCCGTTCTGGTCATGATTAGCCTTCTTACAACCCAATTCTACGTCACAAACCTAATCTCATCATATCCTTTTTTACAGACCAAGTATCACAGCTGTATAATAAGATAGAGCAAACTGCGGCGTGGCATACTCATTTAATAATATATGAGGTATTGTCAGATCTGTTACAATATTATCACTGGTGGCTACAAGTATTTTAGTTGGTAGCTTATAAGTGATATGCAGAGATGAAGAATGCATTCGAAAAATGTACTCACTAATGCCAAAAAATGCATTATTTCAATAACAAACAAAGAATTGTGTTACATATTTCACTTTTCAAGTAATCGTTTCACAAAATAGTGAATATTAGGTAGATAAATTGTCAGTTTATTCCTGAAAATATGTGTAGTCAATGTTTAACTCAGTTGTGTATCCCGTATCACGTACACGAAAATTCGTTACCTTTAAAACATTCGAACTTTAAATCGTCTACTATGCGAAACTTTATCATTTAACGTACGACAAATGACAATCCTTGAAAGCACTTTTGAGAAAGCTTGAGTAAATAATCAGTAAATCTTAGCATAAGTTAGTCAAGTTTATAAATATTTCGATAAATTAGCACTTTCTATGATGAAAAGCAGGATTAAAATAGGAGTTAACTCACGAAGCTGATGACAAGCACGTGCAATATTAAAATAAACCTCTTGACAATGACCGCGCAAACGTATATATTCTCCAAGATATCCAATTGCCTATTTTAAAAGGGGAGAATGAATCAATTATAAGATGAAACGAAAAGGGTTAATTTAATAAAACATATAAGATAATGCAGAATACATCTGCGGGACGTAGGAACAAAAAAAGTAAAGGATAAGTATAGAAGAATTAAAAACTGAAATGATAATGGAAATAATATATAAAAACTGATACCTTCCTATCACTCAAATATTCGAGAAAATTAACTCACAAGCAGTTTGTCAGCTGCTTCAACACTACGGTTCCAGTGCCACAAACCTTTATCAACCTCATTCAACAACTATATGGTATATGATGCTACATGCCAAGTGATTCACAATGGAAAACTCAGTGATGCTTTTGAAGTGAAGACAGGAGTAAGACAAGGCTGCGGCCTACTATCACAGATGATCTTCCTGATGGTGGTCGACTGGATGATGCAATAGACCGTGAGGAGCGAGAAGAAGGGCATACGCTGGCTGGACCGATCAAAACACCCTAGAAGAAGATTTGGATTTCGCAAACGATGATGACTTATGTCTAATATCTTGTCTCACAAACTCGAAGACCTACAGGCAAAAACTAACAAGTTGACAGAAGAGGCGAGGCAGTGAAGGAAGACGGGACTTCCTTCAGGCGAACGTAGAGAATACAGAGGTGATGAAGATACCCAACCACCACCACCACCACCACCACCACCAATAACAACACCAACAAGCACCAATCACCATCAAGGGGGGAAATCCAAAGGAAGTAGTCTCTTTCACCTACCTTCCTATGCAGCATGGCATCGTTTCAACTACAGGTGGCACAGGCACAGATGAGGATGTCAAAGACAGCCAGGATCGGAAAGACAATAAGACAGGCCTTCCATTAATCTGAAATCAGTGTGGAGATCTACTACACTGCACTGTACTCAGCATAAAGCGTGAACAACATCCGGATTCTCAACACTAAGTCAGTCAAGTCAGTGCTTATATGTGGTGGCTGGGAGACTTAGTGCGTTACGGAAAGCATTTCCAACAAACTACAGACATTCATCAACAGCTCCCACCTACGCTCACTCAATACTCAAGATCACGTGACCAGAGAGAATAAGCAACAAGGAACTCTGGCTAGCTGGCAACAAACCAACCAAGAACCTATCGCTCAACAAATATGCAGAAGGAAGTGGAGATGGATTGGATTGGGCAAACACTAAGAAGGCTGACTGGGGACATCACGCACCAAGCCGAGTCCTAGAGTCAAATCCAAATGGGAAACGACGAGTTGGGCGTCCGAGGTGAGGGTGACATGAAGGAGGTCATATGAGAAAGAAATGAAAGCTTGTGGGAAGTCGTTGAGTCAGATTCAAAAGGCTGCAGAGAACGGAGTGCATTGGAGACGTGCTACTGAATCCCTGTGTTCCACTAGGAACCCTATGGACAAATAATAATATAATACAATAATATCAGAAATCACTGCGGGAAGTACGGAAATATAGAAATGTTTGGACTACGAAACATGACCATTGAGTCATAGAGAAGAGATAATTCAGCGAAGAAATTTTCTTTTTCGACGATATCATTTGCTAAAGCGGTACAAGAAATGTTTAGATGTAAGATAAACAATAAAAGCTTCAAAACAACACTCGAACCAGTTATCGGCAGACACATAAAGACTACACAGTAAAACGAAGTATATCAAAAGAGATAACAAATGCTCATATAGCAGTAAGAATATTGATTTTAGTGGAAGGCATGGTTGCATCTGGACAACTAGCCTCACATACGATGATATCAGCGGTAATTTTCAACCATTAACTGTTAGTATTCCAATTACTCCAACTAGGTAGTCTACAAACATAAACATGGCTTAGACTACAGCTCTGTTTTGTCAGTTGTGTTTTCTGATGTGTTATGGCTGGATATCTATGCTTTTGCATCTTTTACTGCTTCACGCTTTATGCTACTCATTAGTATTGAGTAGTATTAGCTAAATTCGTTTACTTTTGTTGGATTTTACGTTTTGTTTGGTATTAGGATTTATTACAATCATATTTTTGCAACAAGTTTTCGCTCCAACGATTTTATTTTCCATTTCTCCTTGAACACTTGTTTATCATTCAACATTGCATTAGTCCAAATAATGATGAATATCTCATAATAAGTCGTGACTTATCACTTAAAACAGTTGTGCGCCGTTATTTGTTATGGACATATTGCGACAACTATGTGCTTGTTGGTGTGAAAACACGGAGATACTTCACTATTTGGGTTTAGGACCATATAAATATTGATAATACCTGGTATTACAGTACTTACTTTTAACAAGTCTTGTATTTCAAATTTCACGAGGAACTTACGAGTTTGTTTTATTTATCGAAGAATTAACCAATAGTTTTGGTTTTGGATTCTCAGAAAGAAGTTTAGAGCTGGGGTTTTCTAAATGAAATACGCACACAAAACGCACCATAGAGTCTGTAAAAGTTCACCACAAAAGCGTCAAAGAATGATTGCCTTAAGAAATTTTCATGTACTTAATCAGATATTATTTGTTTAAGATGTAATATAAATATCTAAATAATTGGAAAAAAACAACGCCTTAGTTACCTGCACGATAGCAAGATGGCGTGAACCAATATGCTTCTGCATAGACATACTCAAAAAGCCAACAGCCAATAGTAAGACAAGAAGTGCATCATCAGGATATTTTTCTCTCATATTATGAGCCGAGCTTTAAGAGAATGGAATACAATTGGTTTCACAGAATGAGCGCTATGTGAAGTGCAACTGAATGGATGAATTCCATTTAATACACAAATAAAATTTTGACATTAACTGGCATACTATTAATTGATAAAAACACAGAGAATTAGCTACCTAGTATACCAACGACCTATTAAACATTAAGAGCAGTAAATCAGGAAATTGTAGGACGAACGAAAATCGTGAGATTTCAGCGTTACTTCAAAACCCTTTCATCACTTTTAATGACACAAGTTAAAAATACTTTCAAGACTGATTCGCGATATGCTTCACAAGTTTATTCATGACTAGGAAGAATGTTTAAAGAAGACAGAAACTCACGGGACAGATGGAAATAATAGTGGGTGGCAGACTTTTAGAAGAAAAAAATGCTTGCCTATAGTTACAATTCCGTTCTCCACCAAAATATGCCTTAAGCCTTACACATAATTTAATAAACCTTTAGCAAGCTATAAATGGGCTGATTTGCAGAACCCTGTCACTTACTTAAGAATTACTAGTTATGCTGGCTAGAACTTAAACACCGAAAATAGCTCAAAAGAATACTGATCTCCTTTCTTATGATCTAATATTTCTTCGTCTGTTTATCGACTGTAAGCTCTCGTGACAGTATCTCTTTGCGAAAGAAATGCCTAGTAAATATATTATGTTACTAAAACTTTTCTACTTGCGATTCTACAGTCATGAAAGGTATGGCTCTGGTGGACAGATGGGTTAAAAGATTTAGAATCTTATGAACGACCACAGTGAAAACCTGATGTTTAGCATACTCTAAGATATATATCTATCAATTTCATTTATTTGAGAAGTTTCATTAACCTTTACTAATGGAATTTCAACACGGACATAAAAAAAACCTGTTTGAAATTCGCCCACTTGTATAGTCCAATCAAAGGACGAGTGGACTATGACATAGTCCATTATATGCTAATCTATGGCAGTGGAATAGGATCACAACTATGCAATTATGGGTATCTCCGGAATATTTTCAGTTAAGATGAAACACAAAGTGACCAGTGTTAAGACTGAAGATAGTGCCCAAAGTAAGACAAACAATACAGTCGCTGATTACGTGCTAAGACATATGGTAGGCATACTGAGCTACTTTTTAACAAAATACTCAATAGTACTCGAAATTAGGTTAGGTTAGGGTGAATCGGGTGACGGTCAAGCCAAGATATACCTTAGAACCGTCCACAGCTGATTTGAACAATATGAGGAAATGAAGGTCGCCCGGTTGGAAGTCTCCAAATGTCAAGAGAATGCTAGATAACATGACTCAATCAATCACCACAATACAGATATGTATATCTTCCCTTTACCTGTCAATCTCATACATTGTATTGACCTTCATCTATTCACCTTTAACTTCATTTATGTCCTCCTCACCTTTCATTCTTTTTTGATATTGCAGTGAGATATCAGGTTGATTTTAATCTAAAAGTCTTAGGATGAGTTTGGACTTGTTTTACTAATTCAAATGTCTTAAAATCATGCTGTGCTCTTGCAAATTCTTAAGATGTTTTCAATCTACGTTTTTGCAAGTTGATAATAAAATAAAGAGAAAACATCATGTTAAATAGCAATGGACCCGTTAGGCGCACAGCGCTAAATCATACAAATATCCTGGAAACAGTTAGTTTGAACTGTAGACCTTCATGTGACCTAAGCGAACCACCAGAATTTACTCAAGCATTTCTATTCGTCCCTCTCTGCAACAACGTATATATAGACTAGAGGATGAATTGATAACAACTGGACATTACATATTATTGCTTATTATTATTACTGTTATTATTATTATTGTGATGATGACCGGCAAACAGGAAGAAATGCATGGTTAAGGTTCTAGTGCTAGCCACCATCAAACAAATAACAGCACAGAGATAATTAAATATAGAACCAATGAAAATAGGTTCTAAGAAAACCTTGTTAAGGTTTTAATCAGTAATCTATTTTATGCTCTTCTACTTTGGTTAATTTGTCGACTTCACTGCACTTTGCATACTTCAGTTTGATTATCATCATTATCATCTTTTACACTTCTTTGACCCTTATTTCACCATTTATTCAATGACTACTTTTCTATTTCTTCCATTTGAACCGATCCTACCACCAATACCAATTGTATCATGTGTATACTGACTGAGCAACTTATTTTGGTGCATTTTACCGATTAAAACAGTATGACATTTCTTTATGAGTTGGAAGTGAATGTGTTATGTACACAACTAGGAAACTTACCGATAGCATAACGATATGAACCACGAACCAAAGTATCACTACTGGCAATGGTACCAATAGCTAGATTTAAACTGTCCTATAATGTACAAAACGACAGATGCCAAAAAATTAACTTGTATTAAACACGAAGAGAGTCGAAGTACTAACTGGCCTTAAAAAATTTGAATGAGAACATACAAACTATGTTACAGTTTTATTCAAGTTTATATCGAATCACTCTAACAATATCTGCAAAATGAAGAAAGTAAATTCTAACGTATTACCAACATAAATAAGCATTGAATGCGTCGAAGGAAATTCAGTGGATTTCTCCACCAGGCGCTCCTGACAGATATCGTAGTGCTAGATGAAGACTTGAATGCACATGTCAGGTACATAGGTCAAGAAGAGGATCGTTTAGGTGGTCAATGGGTATTTGTCGGTTGCAGGTGAGATAACGGAGAGCTTCTGTAGATTTGCACAGATCACTTCTTTTTAGCCAACACCAACTTTCAGCACAGTTATTACCAATGTGCTAGCTGACATCTTCCCTGTGCCACTCAAGCCTGCACTCAAATAGATCATATTGCGACCAGTTACCCATGATGTAGAGCGCATTTATGATAGGCATTCCTTCTGCAGTACATGTCTGGACTCTGATGACGCATTAGTCTGCATCAAATTCATTTTGCGTTTTGATAATCACCTGTGTTTTCATCCGAAACGGATCAAGGTAGGCATACTGGTAGCATCTAATATTGTAACTGAATACTGAAAAGTAAGATGAAAGTAGTGAATGCTTTATTGAAGGTATATTTGAGACTAGATCTCTAACAACTCATTTCTGTTTTTATTTCCCTTCTCTCTCTCATTTCTTGCATCTTCATAATGTCACTTTATTTTGTTCGGCACTTTTTTTATTGTCAGTGCCGTATCAAGTTTGTGGTCTAACAAGTAAAATAATACAATAAATGATAACATCATGTTGTGTATAAGAGTCGGGTTACAGATACCAATGAACTCCAGTTTGAGACTTGAAAGAAATCAACTTGACATTTATCCTGACGCTGTACAAAACTCAAACAGAAGAGAAATGACTTCAAAGAATGCAACTTTTACTATTAAACTATTCCTAGGTGATTTCCCCATCTGAATTCTGTATACAGGTTGAGTTGAAAAATGAGGAACTAAACAAAATTGTCAGTTTCTCAACAAAAGTTAGTCGATGGCCAACAGATTAATTTGGCAGCATGTACAAAATAGACAGGACCTACCACGAAAACCAATAGCCTTAAAAACAAATTATAAGAAAATAGTAGTTATTTTAAGTAACCTGACATTTTCACTAGTCAAAAGGCACGAAAAAAAAATTAACATTCACCGCTTGAGACATTTTATCTTCAAATATCCATCACCACAAGCTATAGATATACTTAGTAAACGACCGGTTTCGGGTTCATTTTGTTAACTGACCTTTAATAGTGAACAAGAAAGACATTGTAGTGTCATTGTCATCCATTATGATTCCTTTGAATGCATAAATAAACTTACTTTGTAACTAAACGATCCAGAAAACGACAGTGTTTAAAATCACGCGAAAGAGTAATTGCTAGATTCATCACATTCCAGTACTGGTTATATTCACTCCACTAAAACAAAATAAATGGGATTGAAATAATACATGAAAGTAAAAAGACGATTGGGAATGAACGTAAGCAATAAGCAATGAGAGGCTTTACACAAAAATTATTTTTATCGCAAGCTTAAAAGAACATTATCTGGTAAAGTTCACCAAAGTATTACTGCTGAAAAATACTATAGCCATACTATCCATACTTTAATATGCGCTTCATACTACACGGATAAAAACTCGATAATAAGCTATCACTTTTACCATTAAGTTAAACATAACACAACTGTACATATATTAATCGCTGGAGAGTAACCAACTTCACGTTGTCTAGTTCTAAGTGCTGGCCGACTTCTATCCGTGTTTTCTGCAGTGTGGCTACCAACCCAGGGGACTCACCATCGCAATACACTGGATAGATCTTAGTTGGATGGAAGCAATCCGCAGGAAGATGTGTCTGCAAACTTGATGCAACTGATGTCTCGCTTGAGATCCGAACTCACATTACCCAGTATTCCAGCTCCGTCGCGGTCGTAGATACCCCATGCTGACGTGGACCAACAAGCACGAAATCTAGGTGCAGGGCCCCTTATGGATTGCCTCCATCTAACTAACAACACAACTTTCCCATGTTTGACTGAACTTTTAATTACCTTATTATGATAATACAGGAGGATTTATTCGATAAAGATCGGCCAGATCTTAGAATAATTGCATCGGCTACTAAATAATCAGTATGTCTAAATAATTCCGTCTTAGAGTTGGTCGTGTCCAAAAACAAGTTAGTGGTATGATTTCTGAATTAAACAATAAGTGATAGGAATTTGAATCACTCATGGAACCAGAACTTCACCAAGATTACAAAAGCATCACGCTAAAAACTCCCAGAGAAAGAGAAATATGGGGTTTAAAATAGGAGTTGGGACACGGTAACCACACTGTTTGACGTCAAATTTGTGTAGAACAAATGTAAAGAATTCGACAAGTCTTGTATGTTCACAGTAATGTCAGTTTTCTATGACAACTAAGTAGAATCATGTTACTGTATTATTAATATTAATGTTATTATTATTGTTATTTACATAACTTTCTTTAAAAAACAAAGAAAGAATATGTATACTGTTATGATTCAATAGTAGTTTACAATTAAGGGTGATTTTAAGAACCGCTCTCAGTTATAACGTCAGTACACAGACAACTGTAGACATGTATAATACAGTAGGAGTCGTTTGCACTGAGGGATTATAGGTTCGAATACCTAATGAACCATTAGTTTGAGGTTGCTATATTGTCAATATCCGTCCATTTATTGAACAAATTTTATCACATGGAGTGATTACTAGCTCACCTACGGGTATTCTTCTCGAGTTGTAGGTGCCCACTTATTTAGGTTAACCTTAAGACACCAATCTAGGTTATTTCAACATCCTTTATGATAACAAATTCTCATGTAACGAAAAGCAGGTGGATAGTTAATTTATCCCATTTTTTCGATTCATTTGTCTTCGTATGTCTGGTGTCTTTGACCTCCGATGGTTGTACAATTGTTCATCATCTCATCAATGCAGATGAATTGTTCTCATGTCCAAGAATCAGTCACTGGACATTGGCCAATAATGACCAGAGTTTACCGATCAACTTTTCAATGTAGCCGCCAAGCAAAATGATGCAAAACTAGTAATGCACTTCTGGATTAGATGTTATAAATCAATCAGTAAGAAACCCTTAAACTAAAGTGTCATGCTTAGTAGCACTTATCACAGTAAGACATATTTGCAACCATTAGTTCTTATGCTGACCCGGTAATATTTCTGATTATCCCTAACAAAATCTTATTGTTCATTACTATAACTAGTTTAGATTGGCACAAGAATAACCGATTTATTAGACCTCAGTAGCCTTAGTTAGCATAGGGATTTTTCTGTGCACCGATGACTAAAGTCAGAAAAATTGGTGTGAATACTTTTCACTTCAATAATGATCGCTTCCTTTACATATAAAGATGCTGGAAAACAAAAAAAAACATGGTACAGTTTACAATTTTTCTATATCATTTAATAAAGCAATATACAGTATGACTAACTTGTTTCTGTATTTTCCTCAGTTCTAAAAATGCTGGTGTCCCATGACGTGCAATGAGTGATGAACTAATTAAAAGATGACTTGCAGCCAACCGACGTAAATCATTCCCTTGGACATGGGGTAGTAAAGAAGCCCAAGCGGTGGCTGTTTCTAATTGAGGTAATGATTTCGGCAGACGAGCACGCAACACATCAACTACGCGTAGAAATAATCCCCAAATATCGGAACTACTGATACCAGTTGTTCTGTAGTTGCACGCTCAGCATTTAACTGATCGGATAGTGTATCAGTCAATGCAGGTGCAACTGACGCCAACCGGTCTGTTACTAATTTACGATGTTGTTCACTGTCAAGAATTAGGGCAACTTTTTTGAAAAATGAAAAAGAGGTATGAAAGATCAATGAATCATAGTGTTATTTACATTATGATTGGATATATATATATATATATATATATATATATATATATATATAGTGTCGGCCAAAAGTTAGAAAATAGAAATGACTATACGTTGTAGGCTATATTTCGCACATACAATAATCACTCACGAACAGATATGTATCAACAAACATATGCAGAAGACAGAAATTTGAACAGAAAGGTTTAAGTGCCATCAGTATACTGCATACAGTATCCAAGCTGGAAAGTGAAAACTTTTTACACAAATAATGAACAAAAGTAACACGTTCCAACAAGCGCCCATGTTAAACAAGTATACGAAAGGCTAGAAAACATACAAGAAGCTTCAATGTTGCATTTCGTAATATTATTTTACGGTTTCATCGTGGAATAACTACATATTCCGTCGATAAATTTTCATCAAGAGGTCTGAGAGGCGCAAAACGCTGAAGTTAACCCGTTATGACTAAACAATCTCCAATGAAAAATATACTTTTCCTCAGTATATTGAATGAAATTTCGCAACACATCCTGCTATTTAAACAGCAGGCTCGCTATTTCTATTCATTTACTTACAATAGATTTCTCAAATAAAACACATATCCAAACTTGGTCAGTAATTAAGACCGATAGCCGCTAATAGATGTGGTGATCGGTCCTGCAATCCCGAAGACCAACGAGTTATGCTGGCAGGACGCTTGTTCCCTCGATGTCTTACCATAGAAAAAAGGTTTATTGGATAAGTGGTAAGACAAAATGCAGTTAACACTAGTGTATGTTGCAACGCTTTGATGGTAGGTCTGACAGCGAGGTCATACTGCTAACTGGATGGATGTGGCACCAATAAGGTGTTTCCTGTGTGTGACCAGCAGGACCACGCTGATTCTGCCTTCCAAACAGGAAACCGGCAATAGAAAAGGTTGGACCCCATAATAACATATCACCACTCCATTGCGGCATGCCAATGCTTGCAAATAGGGCTTCACAGGCGGATAAAAATGCAAAACACCAAAATCTCAAAGTTGCCGAAACGCCGTGTGTGACCGGCCTCAAGCAGATATCCCATAAGCTCTATGGTCACAGCACCCTTTCTTTTTCAGGTACCCCAAGAAGAACTACACTTCCATGGTGTTGGAAGTCGGGAAGTATTAACCGTCCGCACAATTCCAGTAGTACACAAGACCCGGTCAGACTTATCCTCCTCAACTCTATATCCTTTGCCTTCAACTCCTGATACTAATATTAAGTCTCTTACGCCTCACCCAACTTCTCACGCTGTAACCACTGCCAATGATCAAAGCCATCGAAACATCATCTCCGATCCTCTAAGACGCCATCATCGACTTCATGCAGGAGCTTTCACCGTCCGATATCCATGCCAAAATGGACATTAGCATCGTTAGCAAAATTCTAGAACCTCCAACTGCGTCTCTGAGAAACGTTTACAGGTCCCGAGTATGCTTATTAAACTGATCATAAGTAGCCACAGTAGTGAATCTGTAAAATCCATCATAAGAGTATCCTGTTTCAGTTTTGACCTGACAACTACTTGTTTCTGACCATTACTGGCATTATGCACAAAGAGAGACTGTCTCACATGGCGTTACCCACCTTCAATCCAACGATGGACACAAATTGATCACCATACTATAACTCATTAGTTGAAGAGGATCGATGGAGGATTGTCGCTCTTTCTGCAGCAACTGTCTGGACTCCAACTACATGCTAGTAAGGGTTTGTGCATGTTTGCGCATTACTAACACCAGAAGGCAGTGAAGCTCATTTGTGCTCGATTGGAAGATGAGAACGTCAAGTCCGCATTCGACGAAAACAAAGATAACCATTTACCCGAACATGACAGCAATGCTCATCCTGAGGAAACCTGAAGTGATATAAGGTCTTTCGAGGAAAAAGTGTTAAAGACAGTTAGTAACCCACACCCAAAGGTTAACAAACATCATTGGACCTCCACAACCTCATCCCAACTGGTTCATGCAAGAAGACTGATTCAATCTGGCTGTCTCCCATCACCATGAAGAGTGAAAGCAACTTAAACATAAGTTGACCACAAGATCTTCGCATCCATCGCGAACACTAGTGTGTGTGGCGAAAGCGAGAGACATGGAGAACGCATCAGTCTCGGTCAACACTCAACAACTATTTACGCTTTTTAAGGATACTGACAACAAGAAAACCATGTCTAGAGAAAACATTATCGAGAAGGATCGAACGCTGATAACCTCCAAAAAGAGGTGGCTAGAAAGTTGGACAGAACACTTTGAAATACAGTTCGACTGGCTCCAAGCAACGCTTCAGTTGCCCAACATCCAGACAGCCAGAACCTAAATGGGACGTATATGTCGGTCCTACAACTCTCGTCGAAATTTAGAAAGCTGTATCGAACTACAAACGATTCAAAGCAGCAAGACATGACGGTTTTCCACCCGAAGTTCTCAAGGATGGAGGTGGAAAATTGGTAATTAGACTGATGGAGGTACTAGATAGTGTATGGAAATAATAGGTAGTGTCGTCAGATCGGTCTACTTTTTTGATCATCCCAGTCTATAAGAAGGGAGAGAAATCTTTCTGTGGCAACCATAGGGAAATTAGTTTGACTGACATTGTGTCCAAGATCCTAGGGTTCACAGTTATCCAACGCCTAACTGGAGCTAGAGAACAGCAAAGTCAGACGTGAACCACGGTACATCCATCATACTTTTCCCAGGATTGACTCCGTCGATCGTGAGGTGTCGTGGCAGTGTTCGACTGAAAGGAGTATCGAGCTGGTATAAAATGTGTATCGAAGCTCTCTACTCGAACTCATGTAGCCGCGTCAGGGGTTACAGAGAGTTGTCATGTGAATTGACAACAACTAGTGGTGTCCGGCAGGGATGCTCACTGTCACCGTTCCTATTTTACTTCGTCACTGACGTACTAATGAACATAACCTTGGGTACATCTGACTTCACAGGGATTGATCCACATCCATCCCTATCTGAAGGTCATCTGGTTGACTTGAAGTATGTAATCCATTTTGTCCTACTAGATGAAGACACTAAAAAAATACAGGGACTTCTGGACACGTTGAGTAGAAGTACTAATATTTTCGGTATGCGTTTCTCTGGCACCTGTCAAATGTAAGAGGATACTCCAGAACTGGTCTGCTCCAAGTACTCCCAGTTTAATGATAGGAAGTGAAGTGGTGGAATGTGTCAACCACTTCACTTACTTGGGGAGTTGGATCAGGCCACCGAACAGGCTGGTTGCTGACGAAACTTCAGCTAACATACAGAAGGCCCGTTTGGCACTTGTCAACTCGCGTCACCTCTGAGACCGACTGGCGAGATATCCCACTATCTTTATAGCAAAGCACGAGTATACTGTGCTTCAGTCCGTTCTGTCTCGCTATACGACTGTGAGGTATGGCCATTGAAAATAGACGACATGAAGCTGTTACAGAGTTTTGATCATAGGTGTCTTCTAAGCGTTGCTCTCATCTGGTGGAATCACCATGTGAGCAATGTTAAGGTTAGGCGAAGGGTATTAAGCAAGACAGGCAAGTCGATTGATGAGGTTGTGGACCTGTGTCGACTCAGGTGGTTTGGATATGTAGTTCGTATGCCGAGCGACATCCTACCTTGACGTGCCATGTTAGGGGAAGTTAGAATGGTTTGTGTGAGGGTTCAGGGTGGCTAAATGAAGTCAATGGAGTCTCTTACTGTTGGTCTGCATGATGTTGGCAAATGTAGCCTGCATGGTTTGGATCCGTGAAATGAAAGGAATCAGTGGTTTATAACTCTTGTTGAGAAGGCTTAAAATCGGTCACAAAGAGACAGATGCATTCACTCTCTGACATCATCTAAAGTTTGAATAGTAGCACCATTTTCTATCTTAAGATTGTTTATTCTCTCACACTACTTTATCGACTCTGATATCACTCCTGTTCTGTCCACCTGTTCTTTGTGTTCTACTGTGATGTGTGGCAACTTGAACCAAAGCATTTGTATGCTTTGATTGCAGAGTTACACAGAAATGAATTCCTATATTTAAGTGACAGATATAAACACGTTGATGAGAAAGACTTGCATCTCACCAAGATAGAGAACTGTATCACATTTTCAAATACAGAACGTAGAGACAATACGGAAAGCGGAAAACAAGGGTTCATATCACTATAGAGCAGCGACGGTATACGATTATGATAAGTAGACTGATCACGGTCATAGAAGTTGACTTGTAGGCAGTGGAAGTTAATCTGCAGGTAAGATGGAAGCTTTCCAGCTCAAATTTCCGACCTGTTTTTGTGTGCTATAACCTTGCTGAACAGTTCAGTACATATATATGCATTCTAATAAAAACGCTCCCATAGTTACAAGCCAGTCTTTACCTTCTGATATAACGTCATTCATTGAGGTACACGGTACTCCGAAAACAGTCAATTTTCATGTACAGTCCATATAATTGTATGCATTCAATATCGATACTTCTGTTTCAGGTCACTAGGTCACCTCGAGCATATATTGTGGAGCACACTTATCTAATGAAGCCTGATGATGCCACATAGAAGTTCAAACTTTGATAAGCAGCCAGACAGGATTTGAACTTGTTTGAACCAATGTTTAAACTTTAGGCATATAAGCCAAAGTGTAACAGCTATACATCACGCGTATAACTCATCAAGATACCAGACAATCCACTGACATAGGAAATACAAGAGTATTCTTGAACAGTGCATATCACTGTAAGGACACGAAAAAAATAGCAAGATTTAAAAACCTATCTACCGATAATGCTTATTTGCATTGCTCCACTAAACCTATTTTTGGTTCGCTTAATTTTTTAAAAATGACATCAATTTCTCTATTTCTTTTCATAATGATAAGGTCAGAGAAAAATATTACTACAATGATTGACAAATATTCTTTCACTTTCAAAACAAAGCTTATTCTGCAATACTTATTTGATGTGTAAACAGCAATACGTGTCTCTAAATAGTTTACACAAATTGCTCTATTTGATTGATATCTGAGAATTACTACAGTGCAAGTAAATAAGACAAACCTTGTCAGTAACTAGATGAATTAGAGATGCAACAGTGACCGATTTAGTATCGTGAATTAGGTGTCGTACACTTCAACAACGAAAATTGGTTTCACACTCACAAGAAGAGACTGTTAGTGAACACATGAATGAAATTATCATAGATGGGAATACATAGACTTATGACTAAAACAGATGATCATTTCATTGCCTGATTTAGCTCTATCGACGATGTAGTCATCATACGGAATCTCCTGTACAAAGCAGAAGTATTTCAACTATATAATAGAAAATCTACCACAGTTTGTCAAATGACCTCTCTCGGTAGCAATGAAGACATCGAGAAAGACTACAAGTGGTGAAAAACAACGAGACGTCTAACCAACACATTAATACTGAATCGGTACGATTTTTGAAGCTGAAATAAAATTTGAGATGTTGCAGGATCTCAAACTAGCAGCTACTTAATTTATTCTGGTGGAGAGCTATACCGACTGTGCTGAGAGAACTGACTATGAAACAGACCAATTTTACTGCAATCATCGTGATCGACAGCTTGCATCCCACAAAAAGAATCAAGTTTTCCTTTAACTTCAGTTATCAACTCCGCACACTAAAGTTGATTTGCCAACCGAAATTATCTTAAATAAATAGAAAAAATAAGCATTATATTCAGCCAGTACTAGAAATTTACTTACGCTGAGTAAACCGAAGTCCACAAACACGCGTTACATCACTGAACAATAAAGCCCAAGCCTCTTCCAAAAATGAATCCACAGTTTCTGGTGTATCAAGCATTCGACAACGTTCATATGCTAATCTGTATGCTACATGATCACGAGAAACAAGATTTGCAGATGCATCAAACCAGTCATTACCAAGATCAACATTTTCAACAGAACCGTCATCACTTTCCACGTCATCCCCAACTGAGGTGTGTTGCATTTGAGTAGAATTTGTTGATTTATATGTTGACTTTTGAGCGGATTTCAAAGGTGACTTTTCTCTTTTTTGCAAAATTAAATCACACTGTTCAGATAAAGATATTTCATGCCTAACACCTTTCTGTATTAAATTCGAAGGATTTAGAATCTGTAAATTTAAAAATTGGAATTAAATGGGGTATGGTTCGTCAAACATTATACAAAACTAAACGCTTTCATTAATTCTGTTATGTAAACAAACATATTGAAAAATTCCATTACCTTTAAAGCCTCTTGGTGTCTTCCAAGACGTCTAAGAAGATTCACAAGACCTAAACGTGCACCTGTATGTCGAGGGTCGAGATTTTCTGTCACATGACGATATGCTTTGATAGCATCCGCTGTTTTTCCAGCTTCCAAATAAGATTCAGCAAGTAACGTCCAAACTTGTACCATCTAAAGTGGAAAAAAATAGAAAAGGCGCCGAGTATGAACGTAATGATTACTTCCATTATGTCAATATTGTTATAACAAACTAAATGTGATAGAGAATCGAAATAAGAAGGTGCAACAAGGTTATCAGTTGAGCTTTGTAGCTCAGTTTGTAAAATACCAGGAGAGTAATTCAGAAACCAGTGGCGCGAATTCGATTAGAACCTACGTTTACGGTCAACATATGAAATTGCAGAAAAAACTGGAAGAAACCTAGAAACCTAGTAACTAAATCAATGCAATATAACCCAGTAAACATCTAGCGTAAAAAGCTATAAGCTGTAACTAATGTATAGAGGGAGTCTTCTCAAGTTCTCGACCTCTAGCAGACGTATATTAGGATAAAGCGAAATGCTGCACAGCACACTCAGCCTCTAGTAAGAATTTGAATATTTTTTTTGAAGTATATGGGATGGAGGTTTGATCCCGCGACCCATTACCTGAGATCATCTAATTATCCAAGTCAATGAGTCACATCTCAACCCAGACCTAGCTAACGCCAAAAAATATCATCTTTGACGAGCGTGTATTAAACAGTAATTTTTGTTGTTATTCTATGGATAATAAGTTTCAACTAAGATACTAACTAGATGGAACACAGTTTCCATCTACCTTACGCAGGCATATAGTAAGAAATTGTGATGAAGAAGTGTTATTGAGAAGCATAAAACAGGTGTTAAGAACATATGTTGTTCAGATTTGAATAGCTTTAAAGTTTGCAAATTACCTTATTCACAACCAACATATGTTCAGCTTCGATGCTAACAACGGAACTCCTCGAGTGCAACCGCATGATCTGCACCTACTCACAACTCAATAAGGTTGAATAAAGTAAATATACGCTAATTGACACAGAACAACAAAAACAGTTGCACTTCCGAAAGACGAATGTATGTATGAAAAAGGTATCTCAATAATTATACCCCCTTCCAAAGGAATAATCAGAAATAAAAGAGTAATCCTACACTGACTCTGTTAACTCTTGAAATCATATGCAAGTACAAACAGAGCTCATATCTGGCTACCTGACGCTACTCACTTATTAGAAAAATGAGCTACAGAATGGCCACAAAAAGAAACCTCCCTTTATAAACAACTAGATAAATAGAAATTTATCTCTACGCTAAAAGTCAACTTCAATTTGCATCAGTCAAAGTTATCGAAAAATCTAAACTTATGTTTAGAGTGTAAAGAGAGTGTAAAGAATTTACAACGAGGACCTAAACAGGAGGTGGTGGGATTTCCACAATCTATGACATGACAAAATTCGATAGCATCTATAACACAATAACCGGTTTTCGGTAGTACCATTCAGGTTTTTCATATCTATGTGCCAATATCTCAGTGCCGGTTACACTTACAAAGGGTGAAAAAATCGGCAGCAAGCAATGACTTGCTTTGACAATCGCTGTATCTGCACCGTGATTTCAAATATATATATATATATATATATATATATATATATATATATATATATATATATATATATATATATATATATATATATATATATATATATATATATATATATATATATATATATGATAAGTAACTACAAATGTGGTTGGTATAGACCGTAAACCCACTGCTGTTGTCAAACAATATTTCATTCCACGCAAGCTTGAAAATAAATACTTAAAGAACAACCAATACAAGTAACCAACATATACCAAAAGTACATGGAAACTGCCTCGCAAACACAAGTGAAACACTGAAGATCACTGCCAAAAGCATCCCCTGAATAATTTCATTTCATTTGACTGGAAAAGTTGTTTCATTTTGGTGGATGAAGTAGGGAAAAAAGGAATTCCATCAGAACAGCTAATAAAAGTTATGAAAATTCTGAAAACATCCCGATATGTTGTATATCCTATCATTTCAGAGAATCACTAATAGAGTGTTTATGATTGTCAAGTAATGCATTTGTCAGATTCTGCCGAACCGAATGGATCTGAATTCCATTTTACACAAATATCTGCTCGAAGGTTACAATAATCTCAACTAAGGTAATTGCAAGTAATTTGAGTTGGACACAGATGAACAGTCTGACAGCCAAAAAAAGACCATTGAAAATATAGGCAATCTCCACACAAAAACCCATATACCAACAGAGATCGGTCAATTCGGTTCAATCAATGACGGGAGCAAACAAGCAAAAATATTATTAGTCATCATATTAATCTACTCCATGTTTTCCTTATACACACTTGATTACGCAGTTCCTTTATAACTCTACAATCGACCCACTATATTTCCCTTGAGTATTCCATTTGATGACTTAATGTTGATCTATTAGCCAATAATAGACTAATCTGTTTGTTTATTAATACTAAAAATACAAGTGTACAACTGCAGAAAATGATTCATCGAAAAAGAAATTTTCTTTGCTGAATTACTTTGTGATTTCAAGAAAGATAAACAGCAAATATATCTAAATCATTGTGATCAATTTTTAACTGAATTACCTAGGATTTCTGGCTGTAAACTCTCAACATCATCACCGAAGAAGTTTAACCTTCCTACATGACTCAAATCGTAACTAGTTCCCAAAAGATCTGGTTGTAGGTGGAGTGTAATTTACAACTTTTGATCGTACCAGCAAGTATCTAAATGCAGAACCTATTTCTGGGAGAGTAAGGTAAATTGGTTATTGTCATTTTCATTTTTAACATGAATACGACAATACTTATCAGTATGGCTTTACAAAGACAGAATGAACAAAGCCAACTATTCTATTCTTGAAAATAATGCAATTGATTAATTCTAACCAAACCAATATGCATGTAGCGAACTAGAATAGTAAATATTTTATTTTTATTTTACAAAAGCATCCTGACAAAGAACGAAATAAAAGAACCCCAAAGGGATAAACTTACCTTACATGTGGTAGTTGATTTCGTTAGCCTAAGGAGTAACTGAATCACTAAGAAGTACTGGTTTTTCTCTTTATAAGCAACGATTATATCTATAAGCCACTTAGAGTATTTTGTTATAATTTCATTTGTATAAAGAGACTGAACATAGGACTGAACAAGGAGGAAACAGATAATAAAATAATAGGAAAATAATTAGTATTTACAAATATATTTTTAGTGAAAGCCTTCACCACTACTATTAATAGTTTAAGTGCTACTGTGAGTAATGAATTACAGAACCACTATTGAGTACCCCCCCTACTATCGAAAATATCGGTTCTTACTGATAAACCAATGCATGAAACTGTTAACATCTAGATGTACCTTCATAAAATATGGATAAATTACATCTCAGGGGTTTGCATAAACACTGCCAATACGAACAAATTATACTCATAAATGTTAATTTTAGGATGCACAAAAGTACAGAAAAGTGAATAACCACAGTCAACTTTTGTTGCATCTCAACTAGTCTAACCAGAAACAGATTTCATTCCTTAGGACTTAAGTATTCAGTTACATGAGTTTGCTGACAACATGAAAAGTACATACGTTGACAAAAAAATTGTGACACACTGTCATCATATGAAAAAAGTATTTCGCTGTTCTGAAGATTTTTACTAGATGCATGATACTGAATACAGATTCCATATTTTAGCAATATACGATGTGGAGACATCCGAGCATGCAAGAGTGTAGTTTCCTCAACGACGTCAAATAATCTGAAATTTGAAATTTTGAACTCGTTTATTCAACAAAGAATGTACTCTTCTATTTCTTAAAAAACGTAAAGGAAATGGAAGGGAAAGAACAAGGAATCTAAATTTGTCAATAAAATGTCTGTTTAATTGGAATCAATTATTTTTAATTACATGCCATCATAAATAAATATGCAATATTCATCTACAGCCGCATACAACGATTGGCTATTCGTGATGTAGCTCGGGAACAAAAACCCGAGACCCGGTCATGGGTGCATCAACCAAATACTCACGCTGCGCCAGGTCCTGGAACATAGGCATGCTTACCGAAGCCCGACAATAACTGTATTTCTCGACCTGAAGGCGGCACTCGATTCCATTGATCGAGAAGTCTTATGGCAATGTCTCTCATTGAAAGGCGTGCCGAGTAAGTACATCACCTGATTGAAGGCTCTCCACTCGAACACTTGTGGGCATGGTAGAGCCTATTATCAGTTGTCCAGGGAGCTATACTCATCGAGTGGTGTCCGTCAAGGCTGTCCACTCTCTCCATTCTTATTCAATTTCATCATAGATATTCTCATGGAGGTCTGCCTCTCGTCACCTGATTACACAGACGTTGACCTAATTACAGGAGAATTTTCGTTAGACCTAGAATATGCAGATGACATGACATAGTCCTATCAGGTGAAGACGCTGACAGGATGCAGAGTCCTCTGGACACTAAGTGGTAATTTGAGAGTATTTGGGATGCATTTCTCAACACCCAAATGCAAATTGTTGCTCCAGGATTTGTCTTCAACGGTGCCCCACCGCGGCTGCCAACAGAGAGTGTAGTGATTGAGTGTGTCGACCACTTCACTTACCTGAGAAGTAGGATCAGCCCTACCCTAGTAGCTGGCTCAGTGGCCGATGGAATCTCTGCACGAATACTGGCTTTCGCCAACTTACGCCAACTGTGGTGTAGCTGTGATATCCGCTCGTCTATTAAGGGTCACGTGTACTGCACAGCAGTCCGCTCTGTTCTACTGTATGGCTGTGAAACATGACCATCGACGGTGAAAGACATGAGAAGGCTTCAAGTGATTGACCACCACTGTCTTCGTGGTGCAGGCCATATTTCGTCGTGTCACCACGTGAGTAACGCAGAAGTCAGGTATAGAGTTTTAGGGCGAAGAGATAAGTCAGTTGACGAAGTTATAAACCTTCATCGACTAAGATGGTTGTGACATGTGTTAGGTATGCCTAGTCACCGATTGCCTCGTCACACAATGTTGGCCGAAGTAGGTCCAGGCTGGAAAAGGGCCCGAGGTGGCTAGACTAAAACATGGCATCAATGTATGAAGTCTTTGACTGTTAGTTTAGGCCATGTGGGAAGATCCAGACTAGGTGACTGGGGTCCGGGGGACAAGAGGAACCAGTGGTTGGAGACTCTAGGTGATATGTCTCACAACCGATATCAGTGGAGCAGATGTTTACACACATTATTCTCATCTTGACGACGCTATACCGAGTCTCACCATTTTCTCATTCTTCCTTTCTCTCTTTTCGTACTTTATATTCGTTTTGACTGAATTTTCTTCATCTTGCGCTTAACTGCTTTTATACTTGATGGACTGATACGAGCTGTGGCAACTCGGACCGTTATGCAGTAATGCCTGGTGGTATGTTGATATGGATGGATGATGTGGCTCGATCCGTCAGTGTTACCAAAACAATTATTAATTATTGTATCTCAATCTGTCTAATAACCCAATGGTTTATAAACATGCCAGCGCCACATTCGTGAGAATCCCGCAAAAGTCGAACGAACAACAGTTTCCTTACATCGCGATTTTACGTTCAATATTGAGTATCGAAAACAGAAGTGTCAAGCCTAGGTTGTTAGTACGCACTCGCTAAGTAGGAATCATGATACGTTACGTAGCATTAAATAAGTGCTCTAAAGACACTAATCTTTTCTAAAATGGAGAAATAATTGACGTTTCGTTTCAATGAGAGTTCAAGAATCGCCACTGTGGTAACCTTCATAGTATATTGACATGGATGCACCATTCACTTTCCACACACCTAAATACAGACATTTTATTCCAACGCAGGCGCCACCTAGTAGTGTTAAGCAAACATCAAACTGACGTTTGCAGGATAGGGACAATGATTTTAACCAGATCTCCAAAAAGTCTTTTCGAATCAATCATAAGCTGGCACATGCTAAGCTTAAACAATGAAGGTGATTTAGGTGATATCCAGACAACAAGTCGGTAAACGTAAGAACCACAAAAGAACCAAGTGGACACTGAATATCTTGAAATAAGGTAAATGTAATCTGTAATTTGATAGCCACTTCAACCTATCCCCAATAGAAACATATCCTGAGAGATTCATTCTTGGTACATGGATTAACAGAGAAAAAGATTGCAATTGACACTAAGTGGCGATTCGAGAACGTTTGGGATTCGCTTCTTATCACCCAAACAAAACTGTTATACCAGGAGTGGTCTGCTCTGGCATTTTACTGAACAATAGGGAGTGGAGCGATTAAGTGCAGTGACCACTGCAATTGCCTAAGAAATCACATCAGTCACCATACGTCAGTGATACATAAAATCTCTGCATAGAGAAAAAAAAGGCCGATCGGTTTTCAGCAACCCACACCATCTATGGTGTCATTATGATATCATCCGACTGTCCATTAAACGTCAAGTCTACTGCACGGCAGTTCGCTCTTCTATTATATAGCTGTGAAACATGGCCATTAAATCCAAAGGACATGAGGTTTACCTGATCTGTGTACTGAAGTGTAGACTTCCACGTTAGGGTCCGCAAGACAACATAAACCAGAGGCTCACTGTTCTACGTGTTATTTTTCACAATCGAGCTCAGTGGCGTAGATGGATCTACACATTATCTTCATCTCAAGCACCAAACTAAACTTGCAGAGAGAAAGGTGATGCACAATCATTTAATTGTTTGTGGACTATCATGCATCGTTCACATGACACTAGTGTAGGACAGCATCAACGTTCGAACCATTCTATAAATAGTGTAAGCATCAAAAACTGTGATCTTAGCTGAGTCGCTCTTGGTTAAAAATAACCTAAAGATATGACTAAGTGATTAAAAATCATGAATCAGTATTCAAATTGTGATGTTCAACTGTATTAAACAGTATTTGTACAAAATAATGTTATCTATACGTTCCTTTCCAGGAAATAGAAACCTCTCATGAACCTACAATTTTGTCGTCTAAAGCAGATACGGAAGGCAAAAGAATCGACGCCCACAATAAAACAGATGATATTTATTGCCATATAACTTACCTCAACTAAAGAACCAAGACAAGAAGTACCAGAATAAGAAACAATTTCAACTTTAATTCAAGCGCCATATTATCAGGAAACTCACACCTAAATACATTAGTTGTACGTAATAAGAAGGAACAAATGGAAGGTTAACCTACCTGTCAAACTTTTCAGTCGATGTCAACTGGGATGAGTGTTTGATCGCATCGAATACATCTCCGGATTTTAAATACAATTTAACACCACAGAAATTAGTGAAAAACTATAATTCAAACAATAAACAAAGCGTATTTTAAATTAAGTTTTGCAATGTTCAGTGGTCAAATCAAGTCAACACCTAGGTTTATTAGTTCCCAGACTTTGGTACTACTTGAGGAAAACGTAACAAATACTTAAAATATAACTCATTTAAACCTCTAGGCAGGTACAGTTCAACTATTTAGTTCGCACTGGGCCAGACACCGACTGTAAGAATCTAGGTAGCTTTATTAATTCCTTTTTTTTATTTTGACATTTCTTTCGTGTGTCTCCCAATACTCCATTAACACAGGAGAAAAAAATGAAAGTTTTAAGCAGCTGACTGTTCGAAATGGTTGGTATCTGATACTCAAGTAGAAACAGTTGTTTGAAGTTCGCGTGCCGAAACCGAAAAAATGATAATAAACTCTGATTTCACTTTCTAAATACACAAAGGTTTGAAAAGAAATTTAACTGAACTTAGCTGAACGGAGAATCATAAGTGATTCAATGAATGGTGAAACTTCAGATGTTTTGCAAGTTGCACGACTGAATTAAACAGGTCATATTATAGGAAGAAATAAGTATTGATGAAACGTTTTTGAATACAGTGAGAAACTTTCATATCTTCCTTTAAGTCAAACTACAAGCAATTTTACCATTGATTCATATAATATTGAAGTATACAATAATGCAGTCCATACACTGATTTGATTTCCTCTCGAATTTTTCGACCAGAACTCCGTGTTTTCCGGACCCGACACCTGACAACCATCGCTTCATGATGTAACCATACGACTTATGCATCATAAAAGAAGCTTTCAAGGTATTCATTCGTGATAACACCTAGTGTAGCTATGTTTCAGAAAATGTAAAACACTATTTTCACCCATTTTCTCACGAATCTACCTTGAACTCCGCTGTACTACAAACAACCGAGCATATAACAAAATAAACCATCACCATCAAAATAAGATATAAAACGGAATAGTCACATATATCTTAATTGGAATTCGGCATTCTTTATTTCAGGACACCGGACACCAGTAACCTAATACCATCAGGCTAAAAACTAGGTGTATTAACCAATGAGCCTTAGATCCAGCAGTAATTCTCCTAAAATACTATACAACAACCATCAGTATCTTTATTTTACTCAAGTCCAGTTTCTTTTGAAATAAACAGAAAGTATATACGCCACTTATGTAAAACATTATAAACCGTATGCTTTCATATTAGGACTTTAAACACATTTGATACAAAGAAGATAGGACGATGGAAATAATTCATCAATTACAATATTTTACCATGATTACACATATTCTGTAAATCATGGGAGATCATAACTATAAATAATTGATGGATAAGCTTCATCAAATGTACAGACTATCTTACCATGAACACTGTCGACTAGCTTACCTTAAGTGCTTGCTCATAACGTTTCATTTGAAACATAATTGACAGGGCAGAATTTCTATCTTAAAATAAAATGATATACATGACAATGAGGCGTTTGGTATAAAAGCTTTACAAAAATATAACATTAACATTAAACTATTTAAGATACTCTATCCATTCATGATATATATATACATATATATATATATATATATATATATATATATATATATATATATATATATATACAAGCCACCTCACAAACTAACAGAGTTCTGTGACAAGAAGATAAGAATAGACTTTAAAAGTAAAAGCAAATAGCTGGAAATTATTTTAATGTTTATACATACCACTATCAGTTCCATGATTAGGATATTGTTCAAAGGCATTTTCGTATGCTTTCGCAGAATTGCCCGGATCCAGTAGTTTGAAAAATTGCTAACGAATGCAAAAAGAAAAATGAAAACTATTAGAAATGTCTATGTTATAACAGAATTACCATGATATGATCTAGATTTATGTACAGGGTATTTCATTATTCGTTAAATAGGATAACTGGTTAGATCATTTGCTTATTTAAAAAAAAAACAGAATCCCTCAACGGACCAGGTTATTCAATGGACAGTATTATCACAAAAGCAACGTTGAAAAAGTGGAGATATGGATCACTGACTTAGGAACTCAACTTTCAAGCAATGAGTCCCAAATTCAAACCCCGCTCGATCTAATTTGGCTTGAGCAACAGGGTAGTATCAAAAACGTTAGACACAACAAGTTTGAATTGCATACATATAGAAATAGAAATAGTTACATTGATCGGCGAATACGCAAAGCAAACACACTCATGAATGTTTTATACCATTGATGATGTGGCAAAGCATACACATGCATATGTACCATTTGCTTATAAAGATACCAACTATGACAGAGTTAATCATCACAGAGTACAGTATGTAGAAGCGAAGAGAAAGTAAGAAGCCCACATGATAACCCGGTTATTTGAACTTTAATACTGATTGATAGAAACACTACAGTGATGTATACCTGAAAACATTATATTCACCACTATACGATCACAATTAGGGGCTTGAATAGAATTTCTCAAAGAAAAAGTAGTCAGTCTTAACAGTTCACCTGAACAGATGCGACTCACTGGATATTTCCCTATATGTGTGTACAGTGTTCTCACTACACTATACTAAACCACCTATCGCGACGTGCCGTCCCACGGGAAGCTGGGTTAGGGCAGGAGACAGTTCAGGGTGGTCAGACCAAAACGTGGCACCGGCACACGAAGTCCCTAAATCTTGGTATGAGGTGTGTGGTGAGGTGTGGACAACCTGGTTGAGGTCCGTGAGACAATAGGTATCAGTGGCTGAAGGCTCTTGATGACGGCTTAAAATTGATCGCAAAGGTCGCAGATATATTCACCCCTTGACGTCTTCTAAAGCTTGAATATTTGCACCAAGATTAATTTTCAAATTTTTCATTCTATCACAACTTTGTCGATTTCGATATCACTTTTCCAACTCATTTTTTCTTTGTATACTACTATGAGGTGTGACAACTTGGACTGACATACTTGTGTGCAAAGTTCTACATCGACTTTGCCTGTCTATCTACACTTTACAATATAATTAATGATTAATTTTAACCATGCAGTAAGCGGAAAATAACCCTAAAAGTAAGGAAACACATATTTCCAAAGATTTTCTTAAACTTCAGGAATGTAGTGTGAATTCCCATGAACACGCTAAACGGAAGTAGAGATGAAAATGATACAGTAAAACTGTCTGTAAACTTGCAGTTTTTATGTTTCCATGACAGAAATATACGGTTCTTCTATTTGCAACTTTCAAACACATAACGATACACTTTTTTCATAGTTATGGCTTACTCTTCAAGAAATAATAACGATGATCGGCGGCATTATCTGTATAATCATCCTGTTGAACATTTGGTAAATATTAGCTGCAGATGAATGTTTCGTACTTGCCGGCAAAGGATAGTTCTAATATCCAAGATATCTTTACCCAAAGACTTATCACTAACCTTGATCGTAATTCTGAAAGTATGGATTTCTGTGCGATTGCATAAATACTATATACATGAATAATGATATACGCGCATATTAAGCCTATAAGCCATTATAGTGGCATATTCAAATATACTGGGTGATGACTGAAGGTGAAATGAAAATTTGGACCGCGGCCGGATTTGAACCAGCAACCACTAGGTTTATAGTTCGATGCTCTACAAGGTCAGTTGGTACTACGGCTATCTCAAATACTCAAATGACATTCAAATATCCAACAGTAGGCAGTACACTATCAAGTTATTTACCCGACAGACTCAACCGATATAGGATCTGGAACAAATGCTTAACCTGCCAAGTTGTCATTCTATCATATCAGCACACCGTGATAGAAAGCAACAAGAGAAACGAAAAAATAAATGAATATTATGTTATCAGCAGTTGTAAAAAGAAGCAGAATAAAGTAAAAGAAGAATCAAATAGCGAGAAGCAATATAACAATTGTGGTGAACATAAGATATAAAAGCACCTACTCTTCTGTCATCGATTCACATCAATATCCTGCGAATTCTCTAATCATCAGTTTCAACTGTCTCGTGGATCCCAACTTAGAGGTTTCTTTTCCTTACAAAAATAAAACCAACAACCAGACTTTATAGATCCCCACATCATGTTTTAGCATGAACAACCTTCGTATTTTTTCTTACTGGTTTCCATCTAGCAAACATACTGTAATACATCAGATGGTGGCCTAGCATCCGCACCGAATAACCTAATTATCACAATTAATGAAGACCTAACCAGGTCACTTCCTTCGACTGATATGTAACACCTCCTTAGTTACGGGGAATGATGAGGAGAAAACAGTGGTCAGACACTTGTAACCTTCCCAGTTCCTCTATAAATCCCAATCATAGAGTGAAACAGAGAAAACTGTTGCTTAGTACCCTCGAATTTAAGCAGGCAATCGGATATCACTCCAGAGATGATGAGCCTTTTTTTCCCGTGCAGAGATTTCATAGGCCACTGACTCATTAAGGTTGATCCCATTTTGCAAGCAAGTAAAGTGGTCAGTGTGATCCTTACTATCAGACTATGCACTAAAGTAGACCAGTCTTGAAGCAACAATTTGCATCAAAGTAACAAGAAACGCATCCTGAACATTCTCGAGTTTTCACTCAGAGTTCAGAAAACTTTGTATTTTGCGAGTGACTTCACCTAACAAAACTATTTAAGCCATGTGCTCTGAATTGACCAAGGAGTTTTCTATGAAGAGATTAATCAGTTTAGAGTTAAACGAGGAGAAACAGATATTCATGTGTATACCTTTGAGAAAGTTATTTAAGTACAGTGGGTATTTTTGACGGACACTACTCAAAAATAAATCAGCTGATGCATGAATTATAACACAACATTCAGCTTCTGTGTTGTAGTGTACTTACCGGTGACAACTTTCAGTAAGATATAATCAAAGTACTTCTCGATCGTAGTCGAAACCGGCCTTTAGATCAATAAATAACAGCAGTGAACACAGATGCGCTGTATACCTAACAATCGCCGTGTTGAGGTTCACGTAACAACCAAAATCGATGGTTTGAAAATATTGATGACACAGCACAAAATTTATCTCCGTGCAGCAGATGCATGCACACATCATCATCCTTTTAATCATCATATCACAATTTTTTATTTGCTCTGCTCCGTCTTCTTCTCTCCTAGTTTTCTACAACTTCTTGCTACTTCTTTTGATATTTCTTCTGCCTTCTGTTTTACTATCTTGTAGACTACTGTGTTGATGTGAGATATAGTAACTATGAGCATTACGTAGTAATTCCAGGTCCTATGTTCGTACTGACTGGCTTTTCATCCTTGAAATCATTTGTCTTCAGGTCGGACGATAACTTTCATCGTGTCTGGACAGTTGCAGGGAAATGATCAAAATCGACTAACTGAATTTCCCCAAATTCCTAAGCAGATAGTTATTTTTTCGTCTTAGTTTTTTCTACTGATGCATTTAATTCATGTTACAATGACCGCATCTTAACTTTTGGTATTTTGTATAAGGCTTTACAACCAACACACACAACAGCACAGGTAACAGAGCTAAAAGAGTTCATAGATAATGCATCATTTAGAACGAAGAATTGAATGAAATTTCGACGACAGTGATAAAAAAGCCTTGTGTCTGGGTTCCTGATATTTCTTGACTGCTCATAACATGAGAAGTCGCTTCTTCTCAAAGTACTCGAAAAATAATTTGTATCAGTATCGATATCCTTATCAACCTAAGAGTATGACCAGATATGACAGACATCATCTTATGGATGCTTTCACTTTACTGTAACTGTACTGGTTCCGTACTCGAAAATAATCACCAAAAGCACGGTAAACCCTTGAGGCGAATGGATGTAATGGTAGTAGTTTCTCCTTTCAAAAAAAAGAAAAAACAATGTAATTCTCCTACAGCCATCAGTACAACTTTACCATAGGGTTGTTATAACCGTATCTCGTTTGTGCGGAAATTACCGTAATGCTGTTGAGTTCACCAGATTAAGTGGTCAAAATTCGTGCCTTAATTAATACTTGCTACGACTGACACATTGTTATCCAAAGACAACAACTTCAAAGTTTGATTAAACAAAACCAGAAGATAAAATTGATGACTAGCTGAATATATGAATATATACTAAACAACAACCCGAATTAAAGCATAAGAAAGTGGATCATCTATGAAATAAACCACACACTTATATACAGAGGATGTTATTGAGGTAACATAACTAAGTACTGGACAGTCAACAGTCAAACAACAATAATGTGAATAGAGTAGTAACTGAGGATGAATTGAAAATCTGTATCACAACAGGATTCGACGTAACTGCCTCGAAGTTACCGCCCCATGTCCGGGCAACTGAGCTGCAGGACCAAACAGTTGACCTAGTCTTAATTTGGCTTTAATAACCAACGATTTCCCCTAGCTGCTATGTGAACCTGTGATATGTAACTGTACGTTCCTCGTAACCACATGCACTCCCCATCCAGGTCTTACTGACCCAATCCAAATCCAGCTGAACCAGGGAAGGGGAACGTCATATTGATTATCAGTGTGACTATCTAGGATAGCTGTGCTTTGGAAGACTGATATTATTGGCACTGTGTGATGATTCAAGATGAGATGAAAATCTGAGTAGTGAAGGATTCGAAGCAGCGATCTCCTGGGTCTCCGACCAGGTGCTCTACCAACTGAGCTACGAGACCCAGCTGCTGACGACCAGGTTTGAATTTCATTTCAACCCCACTTCTTCACCATTTTCACATACAGGTCACATTTGTTTAGACAAAGATTACCTACATGTTTTTTATTCTTCAGTATTACGCAGCTTTTATTTATCAAGTTTTGATCTGGATTAGTTCTTTAAATGTTAGCAGTACCATGCTATTCTCACCATTCTTATCACTGGGATAAGTATTAAAATCACTACTGTTATTATCTTGACAGTTATATTTTTGCATAATTCCCTAACTTATTACCACAGATTAAAGAGTTCACCACGATCGGTCTTATGTCTTAAGGATAAGTAAAATTACGTATATAAGAGTAAAGTCAAAAAAGATCTAATTGAAAACAATATTGTTCGCTTACATGTCTTGATAATTTGAATATCAGTAAACAGCCAACAACTACTTACCGCTGAATGTAAGACTGCTTTTCTTTTCAATATGACACAGAGCATGAATCATTTTGTAGCACTTTGAATCTTAAGTAAACTTTTTCCGACCTCATATTTGTGTAACCGACTTTCTTTGTATAGTAGCAATCTGAAAAAATTAGCGTGCTGATGGGTGACTTAACTGGATCACTAGGATAGAATCCAAACAGCTTTAAGGATAACAGAATCACACTGATTACGAATCAGTGATCGACGTATCCTTTGCATTATTTCGTTTCAATAACAAATTATCATTCATTTTTATTTTGATATACACTTTTTGAGATATTTTTGGATGCCGAACTGGATTTAGTATTCGATTAGCTTTAAACATCAACCCCAAACATGAAGACCAGTCTGTCAAGCAGGTTTATCTCAGGAAATGTAATTAGCAATCAATCAATGGCTTTCTAACTAAAATTGACTTGAATTAAGACGAGAAGACCCGACTAATGCAGTTACTGCGATAAAGAACATACAGGTACACATCTTTCTTCTGCAGAACAGTTAAAAAAGAGATTCGATGAATGAAGTAACTCTGAAACATGTTTAGTATTTGGGTCTCATAGCTCAGTTGGTAGAGTACAGCACCGCTAATCCAGTGGGAGCTGGTTAGATTTACATCTGGAATCCGGTTTCGTGTCGATCTCAAACATCATACCGGAATAGTAGTAATTTGAAGATCTAAAGTCACCATTTTTAACGCACTAGTAAGTTATATTTACAGTGGTCTACTCAAAGTGTTATTGAAAAAATAACACTAATTAAACAAGTTATGCAGCTAAAATGGGTCAATTCTAATTTTTGACGATTACTTAAAAGTACGCGTATTATTTAAAAAAAGTTGAGAATAAAGACTTACATCAGCTAGCTCTCGGGCGACTTCAAATTGTTCTTCACCGGTATTTTCTGGAGTAAATGTAAGAGCATCCAAGCGCAACAGCAACGCTTCTTTACTTCGACCAGCAGTTTGACATAGATCGATTAGGCGCTGACGCAAGGATGTATCGGCTCGATCCCTTTTAAGAGCTGAACTGGTCAGATAACAAAATATTTCCAGTGAGAAATTATACATATCTAGTAGGCAACGACTAATATATTCACTTGAACAAATTCGAAAATAGCTTACACAAAATATCTTACCCTGACGTGCGTAATGTATTGCTGACGGAAAATCACCAGCTTCTTCAGCCCAATCAGAAAGTGTAAGCCAAGTATTTCTATCAGATGGGTTTCTTTGAGCAGCTTCATATAAGAACTGGAAGTAGATCACCAAAAGTATTCAAATAAACGAGATTAATTCAGCCGACAAGTACTAGTTCATGCATGATAATGCTACACTATTTCGACATAGAATTATGATCGCAAAGAAAATGGAAGTAGAAAATACGGAAAAAAGGAAGAATGGCATAAAGATACGGAAGTAAGCAATTCCTGACAAAATTACTAAATGACTAGTAGAAAGCCACTTCTCAGTGAGGAAACAGAACCTACAATACTGGAAAACCCGAAAGACTGGTCGTTGGATGATCAGTCTGACGCTAAGTTGACTGTTGGTTTCAGTTACAAAGAATGTAAAAAGCACGTTATAACTCACGTTGATCATATCAGCTTACTTGTCTTTCTGTGTCCCCCACAGTGACTTGCAGACCATGCATACATAAAAGGATAGCAATCGAAGGTCATCTGATACAACAAACAACTGACAGTTTGAAGGTAACCACACTGAAATCATTGAAATTCAGGTCTCTTTTACCACCGTTTAAATGCGGTATCTACCATTCATAATTGTCCTAGATACAGTATTTACGACAAACAACCCATCTTTGCATACAACTGAATAAGTAAACGACAAAATTCCTGACTGCGACGGTGGATAATGTCAACTCAAATCTCTAACAACGTATCTGCTTACCTGAAGCAAATAATCCTAATAAACTTACTTGAATATTCGATAATGATTTCGAAGAAATGAGGAAGCTTCTGATCCGTATTATTTGATTTGTTATAATCAATTTTTTACAACAGTCTCACACGTCATTGTTACTCAAAAGTAACAAAAAAGAAACAAAGGGGCAAAGTAGAGACGAAGTAAATTTTGATGAGGTCGCCTAGCCTGGCAATGAAACGTCAAAGAACAAATCTCAAAGTTCAGAGAACACCACATAATTGTCACAGTCAATAATATTTCAACAATCCGTTGATGATGCAAAGCTCACACAATCAAAATGAATAAGGTAGCCATTAAAATAATATCAGGCAAATAAAATCGTGAAATGTTCACTACACATTATACAACTTTGAAGGCCTGAAACAATGTTCACAGTTGGTTTTTATCATGTCTTCATGATTAAATAAAGCGATCAGATGAATAGTATGCTTTGTGAATTTCGGTAACAGGATTGACGAAATTCTAGTTTGAATATGAAAACTAGCAGTGATTCATTTATGTTGTATCGACGATCCGTTACCTTGTACATTCAAGTCATTAGATAGCACAATGATGTTGTATGATTCTGAAACCTGGTAACCACGAATATAAAACTCTAAAAGGTTATATTCTCTAGAAACGATTACCCGTAGGGAATTGTAGCACGTTTAAATTACATGTATGGTTTAACTTTGAGATACTTACTTAGCAAAAAAGGTAACACTTGCTTCTTGAGATGGCTTAATTCTATTTTAAATGGATAAATAGTCTAGAATTCTAATACTGTCTGAGTACGGGACTAAAAAACTATGGTAAACGTCATATGTCGAATGAACAAGTGTCCTGAAGATGGTTACTATACCTCATAATCCACATAGATAACAAACAGCATAATATATCTGAATCCCATGAGGTGCTTTTCGCTAAAGGCCGAACCATGAACTCGTTGTCTTAAACGCTAAGACACTGTTCATCTGTTTGTCAGTGGTATTCGCTACCTCAGGACTTTCAACCCACTGAACGAAATTAACTCTACTGAGCATATGAGTTGGATGTGTGAACAGCTCAATAATACCATCAAACATACGAAGAAAGAATTTCGATGGTGAATAGCATTAAAACCTACAGTGTAACTATCGCCTCATTCAGAATCTGTCAGACGTAAATCTAGGGAGTGAAAAACCAATAGCAATACTGCGGTCCGTAAAGAAAACCGATAAACGTTGGACAACAGAGACAACATCAATGGTAACACAGAAATTCACCAAGTGGAATTGAGAAGCATTTTGCTAATAAGCATAAACCCTACAATCAAAACAGATCCTTCCAAATCGCGTTTTACTCAGATCCATCACCATAGTTGCAACATCCACTACTACCACTGGTTAGCTTATCTGATTCAGAAAATCAGCTAATAACATATGAAAAGGGCTAATAACTAGTGATATGCTTATTTCCAATTTCAATCACATAAAAATATTAATTAACGAATCGGTATTTGGTAAATAATAAATGATTCGACATGAAGTAGTCAATGAGTTGAAAACTGAGGAGATAAGTTGGACTTACTGCTTTAGCTTTTTCCTGGTCTCCGCGACGAAAACTAATTTCAGCCAGAACAATGTAAGGTTGAGATGCGTGAGAAGCTAATTACAAAAAGAAAAATAATTCGAAATACATCGGACCCTGATTTTTTATAATAATTACCAGTGCATTGAAAATGAACTAGCATAAAACACAACTTATGATAGCTGATCATTTAGGAAAGAAGTTTCAAAGTAACCCGTGATTTTCTCTCCGGCAAGATTTCTTGTGCACAAGACTCATCAATCTAAGAAAACAACTTAAATTAAGTGATAAATATAAACGAAATTTCCGACCTTAACAACAAGTTGAACGGGTAAATCTCAGAAATACACACTTAGCACTTGAACTCTTCTTCAAGTATTACTAGTAAACAGAGAAAGGAGGTATGTCTATCTGGAGCACTGTTTTACAATTTACCACAAAATAACGATACCACTATTATTTATGGATATCTACGGGTAATCTCTCAGGTAGATGTGGTAATAGAAGCATTGGTTTACCGCTAAAACAGTATTGCACAGTGAAAAACGGAGATACACATAAATAGTGACTTTAGAAAGAAAACCAGCAAAGCTGTCTTTCAGTGCAACACTACCAGTCCGATGTAATTGTCGAAGGTATTTGACTGATATGAGTGAGAAGTCATAATCAAAAAATATCACGAAACAGTAACTAAAACGTTCGGTTAGCACTTCACTGGAGACTTTAATCATGTATTTGGTTGTAATTTAAAGATAATAGGCTGCTAGAGATCAACGAAGACATGAAGACACCTGAATCCACCACTTTTTCTGCACCGACTGACCATTTGCAAACTCAATACCACTTTGGATAAAGAGATTAATTCTTGATTATGATGCAAGGAGTATATTACAGTCCTGAGCATTTCAACAGGAAATATTTTCCTATAGGTATACAGCTTTCTTTCAACAGCCTTTAACCTATTCTGAAAATAAAGATGACATTCATCAACGTATTGATGCGTTTAAAAGAACATGAATGACTTCTAAGATGCATTTACAGAAATTAATTATAGCATACAGAAGTACTTCAATACTCATTAACCTATTTGTAGAAAATCGCAGCGATTGGAAGCTGATCGCATAAGTACTTTTATCAATTCAAACAACGATTCACTTCCTCATCAACTCTGAAAATGTTTTACCCAAGCTACTTTCTTGAACTGTAAAGATTTCCATTTGACCATTTAAGATAGCCGTAGTTTGGCATTCCAAATATTTTTGGACCTCGCAGCTCAGTTGGAAGAGCATTGGGTCGGAAACCCGGTGGTCGCTGGTTCGAATCCGACTACGGTCCAAATTTTCATTTCACCTTAAATTATCACCTAGTATAAACTGTAAAAATAAAAAATGGTTGGCTCTAAAACTGCTAGACTGAGAAAGAGAAAATACAACATCTGTCGACTTCGTTTCTATTCACAGATTATATATCGAATGAGTCTTACCTGTATCAATGATCTCATAACAAATACGCTCAGCGTGATCAAACTCATCGTTGTTTAGATGTCTTTCGGCTTCTCCAAGATACTGCGCTAACTCAATAGGCAACCGAGCACGCTTTGCCTATCCGCGAAATATAACAGTTAAATGTTAGTTAATTTCAGTAAACAAAAATTACAATTAGTGATCCTCTCGTCCTCACTCTTTTCTTTCCCATTGCATCAGAATTTTGCCGTTGTGTTGATCGTCTGAGACCTGAAGTAAATGTAGAAAAAATGCATTACTTCACTAAAAGAAACTCGACAATGAAATGTGCCTAAAACTTAACAGTAGCGTGAACTAAAGTTAAAAAGCCATCAAAACAAACAAAACGAAAAAATAAAAAAACCTAGATATTACTATGTGACCACCTGAGCCGTCATACTTCACATACACATATAGAGATGGAAGACAATAAGGAAGAACTCAAAATCATATCAGTAGCTATAATAACCCGAATCGATTACAAGTATTGGTGCATGTTTATTAATCGAAAAGCCTCCCGGTAAAAATAGCAGTTGAAGTAAACGAACGATTAAAAAAGATATCATTGCTACAAATATCGAAACTCCGTAGCCTGTAGGTATCTTGTCACAATACAACACGAATGTCCTCAAAAACCTCGGTGCCACGTTCGGATGGATCACTAAAGGTTTGTAAAGTAACACGAAGATGTTAAGAAAATCAAAATTTTCATGACTTCTGCTGGACGGACGATAATGGACACTGTAGTATTTGGCAGCATAACCATAAGCATATGACATTACTTTTAACATAAAATCTCTAGTACAACAATCGACTTCTTTTGAATTCCTTGTGAACAATGACCAATAAAAAACTACAAATTTTGTGAATTAATAGGTCGAAACCATTAAGCTCACCAGCCTACTTGCACATCAGCGGTATGCTTCGAATTTTCAACATTTTATGAAACATATTTAATGTCATGCACTTTCTGTGCTTCACTAACTAGTGTTGCTTCAAAGTACGAAGTAGCTTCGAGTAGATTTTCCCATGTCTACTTATATCCAAAGACCTACAATAAACAAATAAGCAATTTCTGAAGAATGAGACTGACTGACTGACTGACTGACTGACTGACTGACTGACTGACTGACTGACTGACTGACTGACTGACTGACTGACTGCATTTCGGTATCTTTTCAGATGGACACAAGCTAGTATAGTTCAGTTATTGGAAATGAATAAAGGTAAATATGCTTTAAAATTAGGGACTCTACAAGCCATTAAAAATAATAAGAAAATTTGCAGCACAAAATTGAGGTGCAACATAGTCAGTCAATGAGCAATGTATGTAGGAAGCAGTGATGTCTGTGTACAGTCGACTGGAAGAGGAGAAACCAAAGTATGTATTTACGGAGAAAGAAAAGCATCTACCAGAACATCGCAGCTATTATTCACTTGATGAAGCTTTGCGTGACATTCCGTCTGCTGTGGGAACAACAGTAAAGACAGTTATAACCTCCGCAACTTAATCCGAATTGAAGTAGTGGAAAGTCATCAAATGACAGAGAGAAAGAATGAGACTGTAATGAAATTCGGTTTGATGCTTAAGATCAAAATGATGTGTGGATACATTTGCGCCACTGACACCGATTCTGGGCAGTATTGTTATGTGGACCCAAAATGGATCGAACCGACGGTCAAGGACTTCAGGAAATGATGCCACGTCTTAGTCTGGCTACTCCTAGAATTTTCTAGCCTGAACTCAATCAATTCAACATTATGAGACGAGGCGGAAGCTTACTAGACATGCATAACAAATGTCCCAGCTACCTCAGTTGGTGACGGTTTACAATCTCGTCGATTGGCTTTTTTTTTCTCACTGAAATTCAGCCTGACTTGGTGTCACTGACATGGTGACACCATGTCAGACAGCCTACGCTACGAATGCAACAGTGATCAAAAACCTGAGGTGTTCTCATCTCCTTTACTCTTGACGACCGTTTTTCACAGCCATATAGTAGAAAAGAGAGAACTGCAGTGCAGTACACTCAACCATTAATGGGGTAAACGGATGATGTCATGATGACATCATAAATGGCGCGGGTCACTGAAAGCCAATCGGACTTTTTTCATCCATGCGCAAATTTCTTCAGTCACTGACCTAGGAGGACTGGTGTGATTTCAAAGGTAAGTAAAGTGGTTAACGTACTCATTCCGCATTGTCCAACATCAGTAAAGACCAGTCCTGGAGAAGAAATTTGCATTTGGGTGGTAAGAAACAAATCCCAAACCTTTTCGAATTGCCAGTTATTGTATCCAGCAGACTCTACATCTCGTCAGCGTCTTCACCTAACAGGACTATGTGATCTGCGTATTTTATATCCATCCAGTAACCATTCTCCTGTAAAGTCAGATGATGAGATGGCGACTTCATCAAGTGAGCTTATTATGGAAGTAAATAATAATGGAGAGAATAAACATCCTTGATGGATACCACTGAGCTTACAAGACTCAATCTCTCACTAACCCTTTCCAGCGACTAGTGATACCAATATGATCCATCTGTGTCCACCGATGAGTTGAGGTCGGTAGATGCCACGTCAGACAATGTCTCCCTTTACGTTCGAGTTGGACAGAAATAGGTGATCATTTGAGCATAGTTGTAGCAGGTCGTCGCCGTTATCCATCGGTTCGTCCGGAGCTCCGAAAGTGCCATCTAAGTGACTTTCTGTCTGACTTACCCTACCCACTTCCACATTCAAATCACCTGATAAGGCAAACACGTTTGAACTTTTGGCCTTCAGTACAAAAGTAGACAGTTTTCGGTAGAACTCTTCTTTCACTTTGTGCTATAACTACACCTACAAGATCACGGGAACTAGCTATCGAGTCTCCAGAAACTTAGAAGGTGAACGTCGAAGATTCACAATACCCCAAAATGTAGTTTGGAGTGCAGTTTCAGGAGATGAGAGATGCTGTTCCGTGAATTCAAACCGATATCGAGAGCGCCAGGGCTAGCAGAAACTAATGATGTAGGAAAACTGACCAGAAGAAATGAAGGAAGATTAAAATATAAAGATGTAGAAGGTGGATAATGAATGGTCTGCGGAGGCTTGAGTGCTAACAGTTGTAAGAATGGTTGACACTTCCCAGGTGTTCACACTGTAGAAGGCTAGTTCTTCTTAAAAAACGCGGTATCGGCATAGTACCGCTGGTCATCCACGGGAAACATACTGCTTTTACGCCCTGTTCCAGCCAGCAATGCTTCTTCGTCTTCAGACCCTTATCACAGCGTAGCGATTTACGATATAAGGCTAACTACTTTCTGTTTTGCCGCTATCCAACTGACCTTTCTAATATAGCAGGACCTCGAGGTCATATCCAAGGTAGTGACGACTGGTCAGGTGACCGATGACAGTGTACCCGAAGAAACCAGGCAGCTATTAGACAAGCAAATGAACACAGACATACCAATGGGCGACACTTGCTATATTTCTCCAACCGAGAGCAGCATTCCACTCTTTCGATTGAAAGGCATTTTTTCACTGTCAAATTGTGAGGAGATTGCCAAGTATGTAATGCTAGGAAAAGCTCTCTACTTGAATTCATGTAGTCGTGTAACAGCTTATGAAGAGTTATCATTGAAAGTGATGACAGCCAGTTGTATCCACTGGGGATACTTGCGACCATCGTTTCTCCCTTACAGATACACTAGTGGTCATCATCTTAGGTACTTCCAGCTTTACAAGCATTGAGCTACTCCCAGAAGTGCAACTGTTTGACTTAGAGTAAGAACGCCACACTGACCTGTTGGTCAAAAACGATAGCAAAATGTAAAGTTTTCCGGACACCTTGGGCAAAATCGTCAGTATGTTTGGCACGCGTTTCGTACCTGTTAAAAGTAAGATGGTGGTTCAGGACTGGACTGCAGTCACTTAAGTTTTAAAGATGGGGAGTAGTGGCGTAGAATGTGCTGACCACTTCACAAATTCGGGAAGTTGCATCAGCATAAACGCGTTGGGTCCTGACTTAATTTCGGCTAAGATACAAATGCCTGTTCCGTATTTATCAACCTACTTAACCTGCGACCTACCTACCTACTTATTAAAGAACGAAAATACTGCACTGCATTATCATTAACATCAGTATGGGACCAAGCATTACTGTGTGACGCTTCAAGTTGCCACGTCTCATATCAGCACATTAAGTAAAGTAGTAAGATGAACGGTGAAATAAAGAAGAATCAGTCAAAAGCAGAAGGAAGCAGTAACAAAGAGGAAGGAGAAGGGAGAAAACGCTTAATTCAGTAAAAAGATTAAGATAATGTTTTGATACATCTGCGCCACTGAGATAGATTCTCAACCAAATCAACTGCGCAGCGGTTTACTCTGTTTTATAATAAGGGTGGTACACTTGGTAGCTGGCAAAGATATGAAGAAATTACAGCTTTTTGACCGTAGGTGTCTTTGTGTCATTCTGGGCAATGTCGATGTCACGTGAAAGGTGCTAGGCAAAACAGGCAATTCATGCCCCTTGGGCACGTACTGCGCACGCCAAGTCAATATCCACCTTGACGCGCAGTGCTATCAGAAGTTGAATTAGTTTGGAAGACTTATAGTGGATAGAAAAAAACGTGGCATCAGTACACGAAGTCTTTAACTGGTCTGAACAATGTAGGGAGGGCAAACTGCCTGCTTGGAGTCCTAAAGACGATAAGAATCAATGGTTGGATACCCTTGGTAACATGACAGGAAATTAGTCACGATGGTGCAAATCGATTCACTTTTCGGCATCTATATTTAGAACATTTTCAATAACCTTAATTTTTTAGAATTCTCCCTCCCCCTATTTTCTTAACCACTTTTTCTTTGCATGCTGTTATGAAATGTGGCTGCTTGAACCGATGCACTTCTGTGAGAGGTTCTACGCTCATTTTGTCTATCTATGTAAGCAATTGGCGTGGTGTACAAAAATTGTCATACAGTGATCAATTGCAAGCGACAGTATGAAATGAATTTATAAATGAAATGAAAAAGATAAACAAGTGGTGAAACTAACATCAAATTAAGAAAAAAAGGAAGGTTAGAATCTTCTTAACCAGAATCGAACCGAACCGAAATTCACTTGGCAACCACATGCACTTTCATGTAGTAATGTAGTAGGCAATGTCATCTATCGTGTGTATTAGTGATATTGCCTGGCTCCTCAAAGCTCGGCAGATGGAGAGGGGTCTGGACTTATGATCTTATGGATGGTAGTCGAGTCCCCAACCCAATACATCACCCTCTCCAACCTAAATTATACTATTGAATATTTTACGACCCGGTCTCTTGCACACCCTTAAAAATTAGTCAAACAATCACTAGTTTCCTCTCTTCTTGACCTTCTATGCTCGGAAGTTGAGTTTGTTTCTAACAATCACTATTTAGCTTTAGCAGAGAACCATTACCGATAAAACACCTCATTTCTGATCACCCCATGTAACCAACTGCAACTTTTGAGACATTTCTGGGGTACAACGTCAATTTTATACATAAATCATTGAATAACTACGTTAAACCTCAATTTTGTGCTGCAAATTTTCTTATTTTTAATGGCTTGTAGAGTCCCTAATTTCAAAATATGTTTACCTTTATTCATTTCCAATAACTGACCTATATTAGCTTGTTTTCAGCTAAAAAGACATCGAAATATAATCAACTAATACTATCCTTTAGAACCCGTATTTCCTGTCTTATTCAAATCAGCTGTTTAGGTTTGAGTTTCTGAACAAGCAATAAATTTCAAGCAGCAAATTCACTGACATAACATTCTTACTGCGATTTTATCTCAAAAAATGTCATCGAATTTCTCAGCAAATCTAACGGCGATGTGTCCTTGTTAACCCACTTAACATCTTAAAAATTATTTCTAGGACACTGCACTGCAAACGAAAATATCAAGTAAGAGTTACTTTTATCATATGCCTATAATCTCTGGGAAGCACAAAGCACTTTGTGCAGCGTTATTATTGCCATTCCAAATTAAAATCTATCAAATAGAAATGATTAACTTACGAGGCGTATATTCTGGATCATTGTTTTTGCTTGAAGAGTCTGAGTCACTACTTCGTGAGCAGTCATCTTCCACATTAACAGAATGGTGCATTTCACGCATCAGATCATCGAAACTAATGACTCCATTTAAATATCGTGAATAAAGGGTTTCATCAGTTACAAGACCATTTAAAAAAGATGACAGGTATGATGATTCATCCATCTCCATGTGCTGACTACAGTTAGGATCGAAGTCCTATCAGTTAGATTAGTTGAAATATCATGTACATCATACGTGTAAGTCAATAACTTCGAAGTCCTCGGCCAATCGCATCTCACCACCCTCAAGATCCCATCCTTCTTCGAAACGCGTTTTGCCGGTTTGGGACATTTTAATTTCCTGTAAAAAATACAATAAAATCATCCGATATAAATATCGTTTACATGCAGTTAGTAACATTACCAATCTATAGTCGAAACATGTGAAAAACTTTGATAACGTAACGAACTGCATAACACAGTGGTTTTACCAACTTTTGCTTTCGAAACCCACTCTAATTCATCCCATAAGCTGCTACACATCAGTTATCCCCACCTTGTACTGCATGAAAGTCCACGTGGTTGTTGAATTCCATTGCACAAAGAATGAAACTACCACTGAAGAAATTAAATGTTATGAGTGACTACATATAATTCTAAGTGAAGAAGATCGGTTCATGAGGTTGGGAATCCTTATTGAGTTGTCACCATGGCAGGCTATGCCAATACCTCCACCCCTCCAACCACCCCAAGAACATTGTACCTGGGAAAGTAGAAAGAAGTTTGAAGCGAGATTAGAGTGACCGCACCAAAACAGCAACATATACATTCCCGACTCAATCAATCATTATCAACATAGGACCAGGCACTACTGCGTAACGGTCCGAGTTGCCACACCTCACGTCATTACATCAAGTAGAAAAGTAGTGGGGTGAAGCATGAAGATAAGTGAATGCAGTCAAAAGAAATATAAAGTACCAGAAGAAAGGAAAGAGGAGTGACAAAATGGTGAGATTCGGTATAGTGTAGTTAAGATGAGGATAATGTGTGTATACATCTGCGCCAGTGACATCCATTCTGAGCCATGTGATCACCTAGTCTCCAACCACTGGTTCCTCTTGTCCCGTGGACCCCAACCACCTAGTCTGCATCGTCCTACATGGCTTAAACCAACAGTCAAAGACTTCATACATTGGTGCCGTGTTTTAGTCTAGCCACCTCGGGCCCTTTTCCAGCCTGCACCTACCTCAGCCAACATTGTATGACGAGGCAATCGGTGACTGGGCATACGTAGTACGTGTCCCAACCATTTCAGTCGATGAAGGTTCATAACCTCGTCAACTGACTTACCTCTTCTCCCCAAAACGCTACACCTGACTTCTGCATTACTCACCTGGTGACACCACAGAGTACGTCCAATACTACGAAGGCAACGGGGGTCAAACACCTGAAGCCTTCTCATGTCTTTCACCGTCGATGGTCATGTTTCACAGCCATACAGTAGAACAGGGCGGACTGCTGTGCAGTACACGCGACCCTTAATAGACAAACGAATATCACGGCGGCGCCATAGGTGGCGCAAATTGGCAAAAGCCAATCGAGCCTTTTGTATCCGTGCAGAGATCTCATCGGCAACTAACCCACCAGGGTTGATCCTACTTCCCAGGTAAGTGAAGTAGTCAACACACTCAACCACCTCACTCTCTATTGTTAACCGCGGTACAGTTGAAGACCAATCCTGGAGCAAAAATTTGCATTTGGGTGGTGAAAACCACATCCCAAACATTTTCAAATTCCCACCCAAAGTGTTCAGAAGACTCTGCATCTTGTCAGTGTCTTCACCTAACAGGACTATGTCATGTCATCTGCATATTCTAGACTTAAAGAAAATTCACTTGTGATTAGGTCAACGTCTGTGTAATCAGGTGACGAGAGGAAAACCTCCATAAGTATATTTATGATAAAATTAAATAAGAATGGAGACAGTGGGCAGCCTTGACGGACACCACTCGATGAGTATAGCTCCCTGGACAACTCATCATAGGCTCTACCATGCCCACAAGTGTTCGAGTGGAGAGCCTTCAATCAGGTGATGTACTTACTCGGCACGCCTTTCAATGAGACATTGCCATAAGACTTCTCGATCAATGGAGTCGAGTGCCGCCTTCAGGTCGAGAAATACAGTTATTGTCGGGCTTCAGTAAGCATGCCTATGTTCCAGGACCTGGCGCAGCGTGAATACTTGGTCAATACACCCACGGCCAGGTGTGCTGCTTTTACAGCAGACTGAAGAAGGCACCTGGCTTCTTCTAGATGAGTGGCAGTCTTTTGTTCCGATAACTGTCTAGCCAACTTCTCACCGAACACGGCTTTGGCGTTTCCGTTGTCCAGCAGCACTTGTAGTGGTTTCGTTGCCAAGTTTTTTCTACGTCCATTGAGAAGCAGGCATATACGCGCTCAAACCAACGCATGATCGCTGTCCAAACACGTACTCCAGAAGGAGCGGCAGTCTTCCACCGATCCTCTTCAGCGATGACTAATAGCAATGTGGTCTATCTGTGTCCATCTCTGAGTTGAGCTAGGTGGACACCACGTCAGACAGTGTCTTTCTATATGTCTGAAATTGGTGCTGGCTAAAAATAGGCAGTTATCTGAGCATAGTTGTAATAGGCGATCACCGTTATCTGTTCGTTCAGCTGGGATTCCGAAAGTGCCACCTAAGTGCCTTTTTGCCTCAGTCTACCCACCTGTGCGTTGAAGTCACCTGCAACAACCACCACGTCCGAGCGTTTGGCTTTCGAGAGGAGGTTAGACAGTTCACGGTAGAACTCGTCCTTCACTTCATCCGAGCTGCAGTCAGTGGGTGCGTAAGCAGAGATTACAAAGAGACAACGGCGAGTCTCACTATTCCTTTTAGTTCTCACTGTGCCGTTCAGCCTCATAGCACAGAGGCGACTATCAAATGGGATCCAGTCTAGTAGTGAGTTTTCTGCCCTAGTGCTTAGTGCTATGCCTACACATGCAAGACCACGAGAGCTAGCTATCGAATCTCCAGAAACTCGGAGGGTGAATTTTACGGATTCACCAGATTGGTCAGGAGAGGTCAGGTGAATAACCACACTTGGGTCCTGTATGCGTGTCTCACCAACACACACTGTGGTAGGCTATTTCTTCTTAAGGTATCTGAAAGAGATTTGTGTGACCGCAGAGCCCATCGGATATCTGCTTGAGGCCTGTCACACAAAGCCTTTTGAGTATGGTTATTTTGAACTTTTGTATTTTTGGGGCCGGAGGGTTGTAAGGAAACTACAAGTGAACCAATATCTAGATGCAGTGTTGGAGCTTGCATATAACAATCACCGAACAAGCCGTTGATTGAAATAACTTTCTTTGAGGCCATACCATGTCATTATTCTGCTTAACAATATTCGCTAAGGAAAGTAATGTTCTTGTTTAAGTCACGACTCAGCACCGAAAGGCTGTGACCAGATACCTAGTATCATATACCCGTACCAAATAATTCTTAGTAGAACTATGGCATCTTGGCGTCCTTGAGTGACTACCGAGTTCCCTTATCGCACCAATAAAACATGTCATCCTAGTTCTCAGTAGACAAACGTTAACGAGCTTGCATTTGGCTTCTTAGGAACATGTTTCTGACTGCTTTCTTCTGATCAAAATGAAAGTGCGTACGATAAAGATATTCATCCATGTGAATAGAAAACAAACCATCTAAACCGTGATCTCGATGTAATAAGGCTTTTAAACAGTCCCGTATTCTTTCCAAATTATTGGCATTAACACCTGCAATACTACTTAAGAATGTTTAAAAATTTTAATTAGACGAGTTTATGACGATGTAGCTGGGAGGGAAAACCTGAAAATTCATAAAACAGCAAAATTCTGTTTATAATTCTTTACTTCATGTTAAATGCGTGCACCAAATATTTCTTATGCGGCTGGCGCCACAGGAAATAGCCCTCAACTGGAAAAATAGTGCAAGACGAGGGGAAATTTCTTTCGATTCAGTAAAAATTATCAACGTCAAGACCGTGCAAAAGCATGCCTGTGACAAGCAAGACCTTCTCAAGAATTCAAAGCTAGCAAGAAGGAACGCAGTCATTTCTAACTTGATCGAGTACGTCAAGGTCCTTTTGCAGTAACTCAAGAAAAGCGAAATTCTATAGTTTTATACTCTGCTTGTATAATTTCATATCACGCTTAAGTGCAGTGAAAAGCGGAGAAAACCATCAAACAATTCACAGGATCTTTGCTGACAGTAATAAATTACAAAAAGAGTTGACAGTGACTACAGTAGCAAACTGCATTTCCCCAGTCAAGATTTTGGCGGAGAAACACACAGCCATATTCAGTAAAGCACGCGGCTGAATGCGGGGAAGAAAATGTGCACGGCTACGTAAAATAAGAAGATAGGCAATTCAAAATATCGCGAGGTGCAATGAAAGTGAACGCGGAGAAAACCAAAACGTGTAGACAAGAAACACGGTAGAGAACTTGAGGCAGCGCTCCAAACCCCGAGTTCTGCTTCGCCTTTTCAGAATAATGTTTCCTCATGACCCCTTGTTACACCCGGAAACTGTCTGGATCTTCGCAGTTATTTTCGAAAGGACTCAAACAGAGATCCTGCCAGCGCAAAAGGTGCACGCACAATCTACGACCTCACACTGCTTAAAGGAAGAATTGGAGTTTCATTGGGATTTTACCCCTTAGCAATCAAGTTTGCGCATGAACAACCACGTGCGCTGGCACTATTAGTGACGCATGTCTTACAAATACTCCAAAACATCACTGACTACGTGTATTACACGAAAAATCTTCCTGACAAATCATTGCTGAAAGTCTTTTGGTATCAAGTGACTCAAGTTGGTAGCATCAGACTTCCCAGGACAAAACTTTCGCGTAACATAACTTCAAACAACATTCGTAAAATGGTTGCATGATAGTTGTCAGGGATAATATCTAATGAACAGACGTGTCGTTTTATCCCTATTTCATTTTACTTGTTTTACCTTCTGTACAAGTAATGAACGGTCTCGAACCACAAAATCTTAAGGCTGATGCTCACACCAAGTGTGACCTTAAAGTACCCTTAAGATCAAAATAACCCGCTAGTGAACCTAGAAGTCTAAACAAAATCAATAATTTTGTAAGCTCTTTTCAACCGTTTTTATCAAATAATATTGCAGTATTCAGCAGTTTTTCTGTTCAATCGACTACTTAAAGTTGATTCTCAACACTTGAATATTAGACAGTAGACTCTGTGAATACCGCTATATTTCTTGTGAAACTCTATCCTTGGTTAAAACAAATATTTAGACAAGATCCACTTTAAATCTCCACCTTTTCAGCAACGAACTTCCTTCTTCCTGAAACCAAATAGGAAGAAATAATAACCAGAGTATTTATTCCCAGTCAAACACGAATGTTTAAATAATGCGTGTGAATGCTGAAATAAGGTGGTTCGATGCATTGAGAAGGAATGCGGAGTAATGCTTAAATGCGACAATTAAGCGGATTTTTACGGACTACCCGCATAACTTACGCACTTGCAGAATAACTATAGCGCGCATGCGTCAATTCTGCCTGATTTCCGCACAATTCCCGCCTTATTTCAGCACCGACCGCTTCATTCACGCATTATTCCAGCATTATTTCCGCACTATTTCAGCAGTGCAGGGAAATCATCGGTAAAAAATTGTTACCCCCTACCCATCG